TTTGTATATATATATATTTTTCCATCTTAAAGAAGTCCCTCTAAGATTCCTTGTAATACTGGCTTGGTGGTGATGAATTCCTGTCTGGGAAGCTCTTTATCTGTCCTTCAATTCTAAATGATAGCTTTGCTGAGCAGAGTACTTGGTTGTAGGTCCTAGCTTTTCATCATTTTGAATATTTTCTGCTAATCCCTCTGGCCTACAAAGTTTCTGTTGAGAAATCAGCTGACAGTCTTATGGGAGCTTCCTTGTAGGTAACTAACTGCTTTCCTCTTGTTGCTTTTAACATTCTCTCTTTGTCTTTAACATGTGGCATTTTAGTTATGATGTGCCTTGGTATTGGCCTATTTGGGTCCATCTTGTTTGGGACTCTCTCTGCTTCCTGGACTTGTATATCTATTTCCTTCACCAGGCTAGGGAAGTTTTCTGTCATTATTTCTTCAAATAGGTTTTTAGTTCCTTGCTCTCTCTCTTCTCCTTCTGCTACCCCTATAATGCAAATGTTGGTACGCTTGAGGTTGTCTCCTCAGTTTTTTGGGGTTCTTTTTTCTTTTTGCTGTTCTAATTTGGTGTTTTTTCTTACCTTATCTTCTAAATCACTGATTTGATCCTCTGCTTTATCCAATCTACTGTCAATTCCTTGTAATGTATTAATTTTCTTTATTTTTGTTATTGTATTCTTTATTTCTGATGGGTTATTTTTAATATTTTCTAGCTCCATTTTTGTGTTTTCTATCTCTTCGTTGAAGTTCTCCCTGAGCGTTCTTATAACCAGTGTTTAGAACTCTGTGTCTGGTAGATTGCTTGTCTTCATATTGTTTAGTTCTGTTTCTGGAGCTTTGTTTTGTTCTTTTATTTGGGACATGTTTCTTTGTCTCCCCATTTTGGCTGCCTCCTTGTGTTTGTTTCTATGTATTAGGTAGGGCTGCTATGTCTCCTGGTCTTAGTCGAGTGGCCTTATGTAGCAGGTGTGCTGTGGGGCTCAGTGGCACAGTCTTCCTGGTCACCTGAGCCATGCACTGCAGGTTTGTCTCTTATGTGGATTGTGTGTGCCCTCCTCTTGTGCTTGAGCCTTGGTTGTTGTTGCAGATCAGTAGGAGGGATTGATCCTCTAGGTCACTGGTTGTGAGGACTGGCCTTGACTACAGTGGAGGAGCTGTGGTGCAGTGACTGTCCCTATAGAGCAGGATCTGCCCCGGAAGTTTCTTGGGTCTGCCCCATCTGCCCCTTGGGTGTGTCATTCTTGGAGGTGACTGGGTGATGCTCTAGCTCATTTTGAAGCTGGCTGCTGGGGATGCCAGCCCCAGGGCCACCTGGCAGGAGACCCACTGCAGGTCAAGTTCAGCCGAAGCCCAAAGCCCATGCCCACCTGGAGCCACCCGGCAGAAGCCACAAAGAAATCCACAGATGGTCACCACCCATGCCATGCTTGGAAGTGTCTTGAGAGGCCAAGCCGCGAACCAAGGCCGGCTGCTGCTAGTTCCAGGCTTAGGGCTGCTCAGCCAGAGTTATGGGACATGCTCAAGTCAGATGCTGCTGGTCTGGGTACTGCGAACTTTTGAGAGACCCTAGGAAAGTCTGCAGCATGAGCTAAGGCAGACAGCTTGTTTGAAAAAGCCACTGACTTGGGTATGCCTGAAATTTGTCAGAGCAGGGTCTTGAATAACAAGGGTGTGTGGCAAACGATCGCAGTTAGTGATGGACACTCAGATATGCGGCGACCTTCAACTGCACGCTGGGAAAGGGGCAGCTTAACAAAGAAACAATGGCCTTCGCCAGCTCCTCCATCCAGGAGAAACCTGCCCCTCCAGCTCCTGTCCTGAAGCCAGACAACTCAGTCTCCCCCTCCCCCATGTCCCTGCCCTTTCTCCATCTACTGCCCTAGTGCTGGAGCTCAGAGCCAGTGATTCCGTCAATGAGTAAGTCCGTGCATGGTCCCTTTTAGAGGAGTGCTACAACTCCAGTTGCCTTCCGTCTTACTCACTCAGTCACAATCTCTGCTGGTTTTCACAACCAGAAATTATGGAGACCTCTTTTCTCAGCACTGAAACCCTGGGCTGGTGGGGGCTGGGACCTCCCGCTCCTCTGGGGGTGGGGTGGTGGTGGTGGTCCACAGCCAAGATATTCCTCCCAGGGCCGGCCGAGTGACGCGATGGTTGAGAACTGGCTTGGGACACCAGAGGGCCCCGGTTCGGATCCCACATATGAGGGCCAGTGACACTGCCCTCCACAGCTAAGATGCTGAACAACAGCTCAACCTGGAGCTGGGCTGCCGTGAGTCGCCGGCGACGGCGTGGGCTGCAGCCCCTGTGGCAGTGGGTTGCCATGGGCTACCGTATGTAGCCAGCAGCCAGCGTGAGCGGCCAGCAGTCACAGTGAGCGGCCGTCCAGAAGCCGGCGACTGATCTGCCTCGCCAGGGAAGAGCGCAATGATGGTGCCAACTTGGGCCAGTGAAGCAATGTCCTCAACAACTAGACTGAAGAACGAAACACAGCAACTTATCTGTTCCCCTTCCCCGATCACCCAGCACTGTTCCCATCCCCCAGTTCCCCAATAAAAATCTTAAAAAAACACACACAAAATGATTTCCCCAGATACAGCGTTCAGTGATGAGGAGCTGGGGATGAGCAAGAGGGAGTTTAGCTGATTTGTGAATTAGCTTCTGGGTACAGTTTCAACAGGTGGTGGTTCAGCTCATGAATATATCGAGGTTAGAGATTATCAGCGCATACATGTTTTGCAGAAGTCTGACTGAATTTCCAGACCTAGTGTTTTATCGTAAGGGACCCAGCTCAGCTGAACACAAGTTAAACTGGCTCCAGTGTCGCTTCTCTGTTGCCCCTCCAAATCCTTCTCCTCCCACCTGGTCTGCCTTAGGTCCCAGGCCTTCTGCAACAGCCCCCAGAGCTGAATCCTCCCTCTCCAGAGTAAAGTGCAGCAGAACTCCCGTCCATCCAGCCCAGCGTATTGACTCACCTCCCTGAATTGGTCACACACAGCTGCACACTGACTACTTTCCTGCCAGTAAGTCCAGCTGGCTCACCTGGTCCTGGCGGACTCTGCACCTGGCAACATCCTTGGGGCAGAACTGAAACTCAGCCTCTGAACAGAGGAACATGTGGCAGTATAGGAGTTTGAATTTCATCTCCATCTCTTCCTGCTCCTCTAACCTTGGATGAGTTACTAAACTCCCCACAGCTCCAGCTTTCCTGCCTTTCAAATGGAGATTGTGATGCCTCTCTCCCAAAGCTGCAGTGAGGTTGCATGAGCCAATGCAAGGAAAGTGTCTTGCTTAGCACCTGGCACATAGCAAAGGGCTCCGTGATATATTTTCCTGACAGTGTTCTCTTCTGCAGCCCTTAGGCGTGAGGCTCCATTCCACTGTAGCTTCTGGAGATTTGTTCATCTCTTTGTGCTGGTCGTAGTTGGGGCTGATTTGTGTTTGTTTTCCCCAGTGTCTAGCGTGCGGGCAGGTTCCAGGGTGGGGGCGGGGGAGCTCTAAGCCAAATTCTGGGAAGACCTCTCAGGCTTGACTATAGAGCTTGCAGTTTGGGAGGCGACCTGCAGATGGCGCGCGCAGCCCTGGGAGGCGACCCGTCCTCTCAGGATGGGATGAAGCTGGGCTGTTAACCAGGTGTCTGGAATGAGGGGCCTTGCTCTCAGTCTTCTCATTAATGCCATTAGCTGGTTCTCCGGGGTGGGTCCTGGGTGTGGGCCTAAGATGGAGTTCCCCGTGGGCCCAGGAGTCACCAAGGAGTACATCAGCTCTGCCCCTGCTCCCTTACCGTGCCCCCTTGTCTTGTATGTAATTACTTACGGGCGAGAGTTCCTCTGTATCCTGCACTTGCTGGGTGCTCAGGGAATGTTATGGAATGAGTTGCATTTGGGAAAGTGCTTCTATTAAAAATCATGCATCCAGGTACGCAGCCCTCACTGTGGCACAGACTGATAGACACAAACCCCTCTCTTCCTCTCCAGCCCTCTGTTCCCTCCCCAGTTACTCCTCTCAGCTGTGGGACAACAGCAGGTCACAGACTCACCTTCCAGATTCTTGATGTGCAACTCAGCCTTGACTCAGGGTGCTGAACTCAGGAGGCCCCTTGTACTTAGGTACATCTTCCTTTCAGCTGGGGGCTCCGCCTATGGTGGAGGGAGGTCCCTGGAACACAAACTTCATGCCCCTGGGCTTTTGCTAGCCTCCTGGGCCTTTCCTTCTCTGCCTATCCAAACCTTCACATCCTGGAGGCCCAGCTCACACGCCAACCCCCTGTGCTACTCTCTTAATCCTCTCTCGGGATGTTTCCACCTGGCAATCTAATTGCCAACTCCTCCCAAAGCAGGTGAGGTCAAATTCTGGCCTGATTCTTTTTGGCTGAGCTCCATTCCCCCTCCTCCCGAGTCCTTTTCACCTCCCTGACCTCTGATGACCTCAGTCCCTCTTCCCCTAGTCTCCCCTTGCCCTAACAGTCAGCCCAGAACTTCAGGCTCTGGCTCCATGACCCACCCCCAGGGTATACATAATATCATCTCTTCCTCCCCCTCCCAGTTCATAGGAATCTCTTGTATAACCTAACTGTTCACTAGTGTTTTTGCATAGCTTTGTTCCCTTGGCTATGCTGTGTTCTCCTGGAGGAGAGAAACTAGTAGACAAACTCCAACTTCCATACCAGGCTCCCCAGAGCTCTCACAAATGTCTCATTTTATAGCTAAGGAAACTGGGACTCAGAAAGGCTTTGAAGCTTGCTGAAAGCCACACACCTGGTCATGGTCCTCTTTAGGGTCCAGCACAGGTGTGAGAGCAGAACAGGTGCTCAAGGATGCACCTTGGCTAATTGAAATCCTTTTCAAAAGCTTAACATGCTGAGCTAGAGCCGAGGCTTCTCAAAGTTTCTCCACGAAGATGGAGATGACGGCCTGGTATAGGGACCTCTCCTTCCTCCCTGCCCATTGGCCCTTGCCAGATTGGGAAAAAGCCACCACGTAGAAACATAACCTTTATTGCACACGGCGCTGGGTCTTTTTTCATAGAAAAAGGTATTAACACATAAGCATCTGCAAATTGAAGCAACTCCTGGTTTTCTTGGAACAGTAAAATCGCATGCAATGTCTCTGAGTTGGGATTTTGGTCTTTGTCAAAACCACCTAGATTGGAGGGAGGGTGAAGGAGGAAGGAAAAATTGCTGAGTCTTTGTGCCTCTGTCTCAAAATAAGGTGAGAGAAATATATAGATATATAGTTTGTTGATGTGTTCCTATATCTCTATATATGTATATATCTCTCCACGCATATTTTGTGGGGTGGAAGGGTTTGACTTGTACTGTCAAATTCTTTGTGCCCTGGCTTCATGGAGAAGAAGAAAATAGTTTCATTTGTACAAAAGAGTTCTATGTACAAGCGTTCATGACTTGGGGGGTTTTCTTTTCATTGTTGGTTAGTTTTTGTCTGTCAATTTAATATAAATAATGCAGGAAAACAGCCAAGTTGGTGATTGAGGGCTGGAGGTGCAGACAGGTCCAAGCGTAGTGCTGCTGTTCTCGGTGTGCCCCTATACCAGGGTGTAGGACTTGGAGTAGGCCCCAGCCCCCTGCTTCTGAGACCTCCCTACCCCCGATGTGCTCATCTCGAGAAGTGAGTCCCTGGAGCCCCCCATTTTGGTGTGTGGGCCCCCGGACCGCGGAGGCTCGGTGCTGGGAGCCGGAGGGGCAGCACTGGGGGCAGCAGGGGGCTCGGCAGGGGTGGGTCCAGGTGCTGGGGGGGCTGTGCCAGCTGGGGCAGCTGGCATGGCCAGAGTCCTCTGAGGTAAGGTGGCTGTGGAGGCGGCAGCAGGGGCCCCTGGGTGTGGGAGGCCCAAGGGCTTGCTGGCAGGGTCCAGGGTCAGGTGGCGAGCCTGGGTGTGGTAGGTTCGAGCCAGGTTCCGGATGGAGGCCTCACGGGGTGGAACCACAGGACAGGGCTCACGCCCATCTGCCTTTCGGAAGAAGGCCTCAGACTTGGCATACAGGGGCAGGTTACAGTAGTCACCTGGAATCACAGAAGCAGAGGATGTGAGAGGCAGAGCCGTCTGGGAACCAGCTTGTTCACCCCACCTACTACCCCTTAATCTTGTCCCTCAGCTGGCATAGGAGTCCTTCCACAGGATGGGAAATAAAGCACTAAAGAAAGATCAATTACTTGATCTCTTTGAGCCTTATCTGTGATAAGTTTCCTTATCTGTGAAATGGGGATAGTCACATTTCCCTTCAGGATTACTGTGAGTAGTGGGTAAGATAAAGTATGTCAAGTTCCTCAATACAATGGCGGGCACATATAGTAGTTGCTCAATAAATGGATACTCATTATTATTTTTAGCTGAGCCATCCTGCCACCTGTTGGCAGCTCAGCAGCAGCTCAGCTTGGGCTAGGAATTGAATCGCTGTTGCTCAGAGCTCAAACTCTTAGAGTGAGCTCTTAACCAACTGAGCCACTCGGCCAGCCCCGATACTGATTATTAAATGATCACTATAAGCTGGTCAGTTTCAGCTGGTAGAGAGCTCATTTCTGAAAACAAGGACTTCCCAAGAGCTCTGGCTGTTAGAAAGCTTTTCTTTACCCTGAGGAGGAAGGGACTGTCACTCCCTGTCACTTCTCCACGTTGACCTGATTCTGTGCTCCTTCCCATGCCGCCTTTCAGATGTCTGAAGTCAGCTACATTGCCCTTTCCCTCTCCTTGGTCCCCTCATCTCCAGGTGGAATGTTCCTAATTTCTTAAACTGCCTCCATATCCTCATCCTCTGCTCTGGGAGCATCCTCCTGTGAACGTGTCTCTATCCTATGAACCATGCCAGGCATTTTCCTTAGATAATTTCATTTAGTCCCACAGTGCCCTGGATAGGCTAATACCTGCCTGCATTTTGCAAGTGAGGACATTGAGGTTCAGAGAGATTAAGTAATTTGCCCAAATTCACACATGTAGAAGGGGTGAAGGCGTCATTCAGGGCTGCTAGTCTCTTAAATCCTTGACTTTCTGTCACCTCAGGCTCTTCTCCAGATGACTCTGAGTCCTCAGATTAGCATGGCCACTTAGCAAGGCCAGTACTGAGCATATACCTGACTCTAATGGTTTGAGAGCCCGGGACTTGCACACTGTGGCCCCCAAATCTGCGGATGGACTGCCCTCATATGCTCCTTGTTATTCTAGACCTGCCCTACCAATCCCAAAGGGAATATGCTCTGGCCAGTCCCTTGGAGCCAGATGATTCCCAGTCAGGCTGGGTCACTGCCCACCATGGTTTGGCCACCATGGGCTGAGCTGCCAGGATGGCTCCTTTGGGTCTGGATTAAGTTCAAACAGCATTGAGACCAATGGCCATTGGGCAGCTGACCCCATAAGGGATCTCCTTCCATCCTGGCATAGCTTCAGATTAAAGACATAATCACTATTTAATGAGAACCTACTATGTGCCAGACACATATATCATTTCTAATGCCCATTCCAACAATATAAAGTATATCCTATCATTTGCATTTTACAAATCAGAAAGTTAAGGCCAGAGAGGTTAAATGATTTGTCCAAGAATCACAGAGATATTAAAAGGTTGAGCCAGCATGTGAACCCTGATCTGCTTGCTCCCAAGTCCTTGTTCTTTGCACTATCCCACACTATCAAGGAGCCCTGCTGGGCTGGCAGGATCCAGGTCTAGGTCTAGCCAGGGCTCACAGCAGGGAGGTGGTCTGGGCACTCACTCTTGTTGGCCCGGTGAGGGATGGGCACAGCCACATTTTTGCCCCGGTCGGCATCCTGGGGCTTGGGTGGGGATGCGGTGAAGCGGCAGATGCCGGGCTCTGAGGGTGTGCTCATGGACGTCATGCTGTCAGCGTTCTCATTGGTGCCTGTGGTCATCTGGTCAGAGGAGCTGTCAGAGATGAAGCACTCGGTGATCTCAAACTTGGCATGCTGCAGCTGCTCCTCCAGCTTGGCATGCTCATAGGCCCGGGCCAGCTCCTCGTAGGTGGAAGAGGCACTCTCAGTGGACACCATGCTGTTCCGTCCTTTGTCTAGGGAGATGAAAGGCATAGAGTTAGGAGTAAATGAGCAGGTTAGGGGAAGACGTGTGTAAATGAGAAGAGATTGAGCATTTCCCCTACACCTAACCCCAGCAGCCATTTGAAAGCCAGGCCATAGAGTGTACCGGGTTCAGAAGATCCTGCTCTCCCATTGTGAAGGCAGCAGTGGTGGCAGAAGTAGGATCTTTGACTAATGAAGGGCAAACACCTTTCATTTTTGAAAACAAGCAACTATCCCTGGAATATTCACCACTTTCTCCAACAAGTGTCATGTGTTCTATTTTCTTTTGATGTTTTGGGAGAGAGCAAAATGAAGTCCTTGTCCAGCAGAGCTCACTGAGGTGAACAAGAGTTTTTGTCAAAGCCACACAGTGAGCCAGTGGTTAGCTGGAAATGACACTGACTTGTGTCTCGGACCCCAAGAGCTGGTGGGTAAGAGTGGGGAAATGGAGCATGGAACTGGATGATGGGGAAGCTGGAAGAGGGTAAGCAGCACATAGGCAGGCCCTGGGCTCACCTGTGTCCTGGGAGAGACTTGCACTGTAGCTGTCACTCTCTGTGACAGTGACCCCATGCTGGGAGCCCACGGTACGCCAATCGGAGGTGAGGGTGCGGGCTGGTGTGGAGGCCTGGCACTTGGTCAGAGTCCACTGGCTTGAGTACCGGTTCCGGGTACTGTGGGCTGACTTTACATTCTTCCTGGACACTGGATCTACACAGAAGAAGCAAGAGCTAGCCCCCTCCAACTGAGGCCACTGGGCTTGGGCAGCTGGCACTTATCAGAGAGGGCGGTGGGGAGCAAGAGAGGAGGCAGACGCAGCCACAGGAGCTCCCCTGGGGAATGCTGAGCATGCTGACTTTCCTGGCCACATGGCTGGCCCCAGAGGAAAAGAGCAAGAGTGTCAAGGTATGGGGGCAGCAGGCGGCACCTGGTCCTCCCCACCCACCCCATCTTTCCCTTCAGCCTGGGAAGAATGTCACCTCCTCTCCTGCTGCCTCCTGACTGTGCATCCATTCCCTACAGCCCTTTATGTATCCAACCCTTATGTCCAGAGTCACAGTGCTAGAGGCAGAAGTCCCTTCAGAATAAGAACACTCAACCCTCTCAACATTTCTAGGTAAGGAAACTGAGGCCCAGAGATATAAGGTTAGTGATATGCCCAAGGTCACAGCTAGTAAGTCTGCAATCAAGGTCTCCAGGCTCTACCTCCAGTGCTCTTTCCATTCTTCCATGCTGTTCCTCCCTCCTTTATATTTTTATTTATCACCTCTGCCTCATGCTGTGCCCAAGACATCCTGTGTAGGAAGAGGGCTGTCTCCCTGGGGATAATGCATACTGGTGCCTGGCCGGATGTCAGACATATCGATGAGGGGTCCTGTGCTCTGGATGAGAGCTGGGTGGTGCAAGGAGACACCGGTACAGAAGCTCTGTGGGTTGACAGCTTGACTGAACTCAGCATCTGCCACGGGGATGGTGGCCTTGTCATCTCCTGGGGGAAGAAGGACAATCAGCAGGACTCCTTCCCTTTGGGCACCATCTTTACTTCCCAAATTTCTTTTTGTCTTTATCCAACATTGAGGCCCAGAAAGGGCCAGGATAATTCTCCCTTAGACAGAGGAGGAAACAGCCCTTGAGAGAAGCTGCAATACATGCTGAGGCTGTTGAGTTGTTGATAGGGCTTCACTTAGAACCCTGGGCACTGCCGTGAGGGCTGGTGGTTGCTCTTTGTGGGTTGCGAACTAGTAAAACACACTCAGAGCAGGACAGAGAGCCTGTGGCACCTGTCACTCACCTAGCTGCTTGATGCCCTCTTTGTCCTCGATGAGCAGCTGGACCCTGGGGATGTCGATGTGTAGCCGTGGGCCCTGGGGTGGCCCCTTTACAGGGGTGTCAAAGCTTCGGTTGTTCTTGCTGTGGGGAGAAGGGCTAGAGGTGGGTGACTCAGCAGCCATAAGGGGTTGAGGGAGGGGGTTTTGCAAAAAAGTGGGGTCTTAGAAGCCTGTCCCATGCAGGGGGAAAGAGAGAGGGAAGGAGAGATGAAACAGCTATGTGATACCCACCTTATCAACATTTCTGCCAAACTCTTTGCATCTGCAAAACAGTAGAGAGAGAAGCTGGGTGAGAATGGAGTCTGAGTAGGATGAGAACTGGAAGAGGTATGGGGACAAAGTGGGAGAATTCTCAAAATTGGGGCCAAGGCCCCAGTTGGGGGCCTGGGAAGAGGAGAAATGTAAGAACCTCTAAAACAGCCCAAAACATGTTAAGGTCTCACTGCTCCCAATTCAGGATTTGGTTAAGGTCTGTTTTCCTTCCCTCAGATTTTTATCTAATAAGAAGGTCCTTCCCAAAGGAGAGGGGATAGAAAGAGCTCTATTTTCTTCCTGAATTGACTCTAATTAAACAAGACACCATAGCAGGCTGGAAACAGGTATCAGAGGCAGATCTATCCTCAGTTATGTGTTGTGGAGAGGAGAGGGTAGATGATGAAGTAGAGGTGGCCAATGGGCAGCCCAGGATGACTATCAACCAAGAGGCTTCAATGATATCGGGGGGAGGGCAATAGAGGGGGAGAGGGGGGTTGTTACTTTGTGAGGGTGAAAAGGATAACTATTACATTGTTCTGTACACCTGAAACTAACAATAAAAAATTTAAAAAAAAGAGGCTTCACTTCCTCCTCTAGGGCACCTATCCCCCAACAATCATGGATGAATTGGGGGCTCCCTGCTTTGTTTCAGAGGGCCCTTGGAAAAGATCAGGAATCTCAGGTTTGGAATTGATGCGAGAGAGAAGAAGCAAAGGACCTGGTTAATCCATTAGACCCCTGATAACTGAGAATTATCTGTCAGAGTGAATTTAGCTGAATGCATTGCATCCAAGCATCCAACTACCTCCCAGTCATCCATTCATAATTGACCCATCCACCTATCAATCTACCCATCTAACTGTTGACCAGTACACCCACCCACCCATCCAACCATTCATCCATCATCCATCCAAACAACTATCCAATCATCCATCCATTCAACCATCAACCCATCCAACTATCTCTCCAACCATCCATCCAATTATCCATTCATCTATTCAACAATTCACCCAATAATCCATCCATTCACTTAACTTTAACCATCTCTCTATCTTATCATGCATCCATCCATCCAAATATCAATACATCCATCCAAATAGCCATCAATCATCAATCTATCCAACCATCCGTTTATCCAACCAACTATCTATCCACCTATCCACCCCTCCCTCCCTCTCTCTCTCCCTCCCTCCCTTCCTCCATCCATCCATCCCTCCATCTATCCATACCAGCCACCTATCCATCCAACCATCTATCCAGCAAACCTTTTATTCAACCATACATCCAACCATCCTTCCATCTATACATGCTTCCATTCAACCATCCAATCAATCATCTAACCATCCATCCAACTATCTAGCCACTCATCCATCCAATCATTCAACCATCCACCCATTCATCTATTCATTTATTATCCAACAACCATCCAACCATCCTTTGAACAATCCATTCATCCAAACTCCTAAACACCCTAGGCAGTTTTAGTCATTCCCTCTTCTGTGTTACTGTGCCCTGGCTTCTCACATTAGACCATGAACTCTATAAGGACATAGGTTGTTCTTTCTTCATTCATCTTCTTATCTCCAAGGGCTGGCAGTATCTACAGTACAGCAGATGCTTAATAAATGTTTCCCAAATGAGTGAATGAACATTTATTAAGCAACTAGTAGGTGCCAGACACTGTACAAATTGAGGTAAATCAGACTCATTCACGCCATAATACAGTGTTAGGTGTTGGGACAGGGGATGATATTCAAAATATCTGACGATTGGGGACAGGCTGAGTGGCGCGATGGTTAAGAACTGGCTTGGGATGCCAGAGGGCCCCGGTTCGGATCCCACATATGAGGGCCAGTGACACTGCCCTCTACAGCTAAGATGCTGAACAACAGCTCAACCTGGAGCTGGGCTGCGGCGACGGTGTAGGCTGCAGCCCCTGTGGCAGTGGGTTGCCATGGGCTACCGAGCCAGCAGCCAGCGTGAGCGGCCAGCAGCTGCAGTGAGCGGCCGTCCAGAAGCCGGCGACTAATCTGCCTCGCCCGGGAAGAGCGCAATGATGGTGCCAACTTGGGCCAGTGAAGCAACGTCCTCCACAACTAAACTGAAGAACAAAATGACAGCAACTTGTCTGTTCCCCTTCCCCCAATTCCCCAACACTGTTCCCATCCCCTCAATTCCCCAATAAAAATCTTTAAAAAAAAAAAATCTGACGATTGGTGTGGCATGGAAGCTTCCCAGTCAGAACTGAGCAAGGTCCTAAAGAACACCTGCAGTTCTACTCCTCAGTGGCTGGGTCCTAGGAAAGTCACAGGGATCCTGTGTGAGAGAATGGTGCATCCAGGGTGAAGGGAGCAATATCTATTTACCAATCTTTTAACAAGCAATATGGCTCTGCCAGTGTGAACCTCTAAAAGTCAGCCCTGGTCAGGGTTGGCACAAAGTCCTGAGGGCACAGAGGAGGAAGCAGTGAACACTAAGGAGGTTTTAGCGCTTGGAGTGGCAGCTCTCCTTTCAAAGGGACACAAACACTCTCTCTTGTCCAGATGGTGCTGTGAATCAGTGGAAGGTGGCCAGTGGGGCCCAGGGTCAAGATTCCTACCCGGGAAGCCCACAGGCAACTCCCCCACCTCTGAGCCGCTTCAGCCTCTTCTCCTTCCTCTTTTTGCGTACAATGAAGAGCAGGGCCACCCCCAGTGTGGCCAGGATGACCGGGCAGCCGATGGTGAACAGCTTCTTCACGTCATCGCCCTCACCTTGAGCAGACTTGATGGGAGGGATGGTACCTGAATGGGGGTGAAGAAGGGAATGGGATGTCCCTTATGAGTCCCATGGCGGGGGGGAACCCTTTGATCTTTCTTGCTGCCCTTGGTTTCACTCTGACCTCGACTTCCTGGTGCAGAGCTCCTCCCCTCCCCTCTGATCCCCCAAATTCTGGTCCCATCAAAAAAGCCATGAACAGTTGTGTCATTTTTACACTACATTATGATATTAATGACTTCCTGGCCTGGTTTAGAATTATCCTGAGGTCTCTCAGAGGTAGTCTCTTGTTCTGTTGGTGTTCAGTGTTCATTCCTAGAGGGTGGATTGATGGGCTTCAATTCCCATACCAGCTGGTAAGGTGGGGGTGGGGTGGGGGAGATGATGAGAGTTTCAGTAGAGAGAAGTCAGGGCAGTGGGATCCTGGGTCTCTTCCTTAGATGGGGACAAAAGCCACTAAATACCCTGCATCCTCTCCCTGCTCTTCCCCCCGTGGGCAATATCTGCTAGCCTTGGGTGCCTGCAAGGAGAGGACACATCCTCCTGCTGACAGAGCCCTCTGCCAACCCCTGATCTTTGCCTGTTTCAAAGCCTTTCCTAAAAGTCATCTCTTTTATGAAGCTGTCCCTGTTTGAGCCCATCCCATTCTGATACCACTGTATTGTTGCCTTAACACAGAGGTAGACTTAATTTAGCTTGTGACAATTTCTCCCTATGAATGTGGCCTTCTCTGCACCTTTAATGTATACGTATGTGCATGTGTGCCAGTGTGTGCATGGGTGTGTTCATGTGTGCGCATATGTATATGTATATACATGCATGTGTGTGAGGTGTCCTCATGTAGCAGACACCAGTTAGTGCTCACCAAGTATCCATGGGCTTGCCTACATTTCCCAGGCTTCCTGGTGGTTAGATTAGAACCATGAGACTGGTTCTGGACAATAGAGTGTGAATAGAAGTCATGAGTATCACCTCCTGGCCAAGGCAGTTAAGAACTGGTCTGCCTTTTCTAGCTCTCTTTTTGGTGACTTTGGAGGCTAAATGTTCAAGACGACAGTGCTCAAAGTTGGTGGCCAGCCAACCCTCATGAGATTATGAGCAAGAAACCGATCTTCATTGGGTTTAGGCATGGAGCTTCTCATGTTTCTCTGTTATTGCAGCACAGGCTCTCCCATTCTGGCTAATATACCATGTTAGTAGTGGGTTCTTAGAGAGCAGGGCCTCAGCTGCATCTGTACCTCCCTCTCATCTCTCTGAAGCTATGGAGAGCAAGGCTCACACTTTCAAAGACCCTCTGTCTTTAGTGTTACGGACCTGTTTGTCTGCCTGTCTGTGAGTATTGGTCACTGGTGCATCTGCTCACTTACCTGCCTGCCTGTCTGCTACTCCCTTTGCCTGTTTAGCCACCTGTCAGCCTTTCTCCTGACTAGTCCTGCTGATTTTTCTATTTGTTTGTCTCTCTCTTTATGTGTCTGCCTCTCTGCCAGCTTCCCTGACAACGCCTTGCTCCAGCCTCTGTGCTGCCCCCTTCCACCCTTTCCGACTCACTGCCATCATAGTCCAGGGTGGCGAACTGGGCCGTCTCGTTGCCGCAGCCAGCGCTGTTGCAAGCCCTCATGCGCAGCTCGTACCACGTGGCCTCTCGCAGTTCGGTCAGAAACACCTCCCCGGAGGTGTTGGCTCGCAGGCCCTGCCAGGCCCAGGTGCCCTTGGGCCGGTACTCCAGGCCAATGGCTGTGATAGGACAGCCCCCGTTGTTCCAGCCCTGCAGGTTAAGCCGAGCATGCGTGGAGTTGATGTGGGTGAAGAGGTGCTGGTCTTTGCTGAAGGAGGGCTCTGGGTCAGGGGGAGCAGAGGGAAAGACAGAGGTTAGAGATTAAGTGGGTAGGGGGATTCATTCATCTGGGCTGGAAAAGATTCCCCTGGGGCATCTGGGACTGCAGTGGCTCCGGGGGATCACTGGTTGGCATTGATGGGGGTAGGGATGCCTCAGAGATCAGAGGAGGAGACAAGGGAAGCACTGGAGAGAAAGCCTCAGCAAGGGAGGAAGAGAAGTGCAGGAAGAAGGAAGAGAGTGATATCCATCTGCCATCCCAGCGGGGAAGTGGGACCAGTTTTTCCTACTGTGATTCGTCTAGATGCTGCAGTGATGGGAACTAGGTTGTGTCTCCCTTCAGCCTCACTGCTTCTCCTTCCCTGTCCCAGCCATCCTCTACCCCTTGCCTTGGGCTCCTCTCCACGCCCACCTCCCCCAGCTCCTCTTCCCTGGGGCCATCTCTCCCACCCCCATCACTGGGTCTCACCCCGCCCATGGGTCTTGGCCTCGATGATCTCGCTGATGCGCCCGGAGCCCACACTGTTCTTGGCCGCCAGCTTCACCTTGTACCACGTGCCACACTTGAGGCTGTCCAGCTTGAAGGCTCGCTCACTTGAACTGATGAACACGTCCTTCCATTCCTCACTGTTGTCCACAGAGTACTGCAGCACAAACCCTGCCCGGGAGGGTTGCCTGCCTCAGGTGGAGCAGGGCTGGGCCTGGGGGTACCTGACAGGCTCCGGGCGGGGGGCACAGTGGGGCCTTTGGTCATTGGGAGGGGCAGATGTACTTTAGAGGCAAGACTGGAAGGACCTTGGGTGAGTTTTACTGCTCTCTCCCTTCAGCCCTTGTGTTAGAATTTAGAAGCCAAGGTGGAAAGGGCAGCAGAAAACCACGGTTGTGAGGCTTAAAAGGGATCCTATTTAGACTCTAGTGTTCCACGTGTTGCCCCATGACAGCAGCATGGCACCACCTGGGCACCTGTTAGACATGCCAATTCTCAGCCCCCACCCCAACCCTCCTGAATTAGGGGATCTTACAAGATCCCCTGGTGATTCATATGAGGTGTGATAAAAAATGATGGTGAATGTTTTTTCATTTTTTTTTTCAAAATGGGGAATTGGGGGAGGGGAACAGTGTTGGGGAATTGGGGAGGGGGAATAGCCAAGTTGTTCTTCAATCTTAGTTGTGGAGGGCACCAGTCGCCATCTGGCTTCCCGTCAGCAGCTCGTGGCCTCTAAGCTCAAGGTGCTGTGTTCAATCTTAGTTGCAGGTGGGCATAGCCACCATCCCATGTGGGAGTTGAACCAGCAGCCTTGTTGTTAAGAGCATGTGCTCTATCCACTGAGCCATCTGGGCAGCAGCTTAGCTCAAGTTGCCAAGTTCAGTCTTAGTTGTGGGCGGGTGTAGCCCACCACTGAACAGGCAGTCTTGGGAGCATGTGCTCTCACCAGCTGAGCCATTCTGCCACCTTTTGGCAGCTCAATGGCAGCTCAGCTTGGGCGCAGCATCACTGGCCCATGTGGGACACGAACTGGCAGCCCTGTTGCTCAGAGCTCATGCTCTTAAGCTAACTCTTAACCAACTGAGCCACTTGGCCAGCCATGACGGTGAATGTTTAAATAAAAATTTATTACAGTAAAAGACAAATTGCCATTAACCTGCCTCAAAATACTCTCCCTCGCTTCGAACAAACTCATTCCATCATTCTATTGTCCTGAATCAATTCAAAGCATTTACCTTTCATGGTCATTTTGACTTTGGGGAAGAGCCAGAAGTCGCACGGTGCCAGATCCAGTGAGTAAGGTGGATGAGGACACACAATAATGTTTTTATTTGACAGAAATTGCCATATACCAGAAGCAATGTGTGACACGGAGTGTTGTCATGATGGAGGATGATTTACTGCACACTTTAAAACACACCTTGTCTCAACCGTAGCTCACACCCAACTGACTGCACTGAACAAGTTGAAATTTGTCACACACTGTTACGAAGATTTGATGCACCACTTCCCATATGGAAGATCCCTGCCTTTCGTTGGGTGGCACTCAGCAGAAGCGTTCATCTTATTTTATGATCACAAAGGAAAGGCTCCATGTCACATATTACTTCCGGTATATGGCAATTTCTGTCAAATAAAAACATTATGGTGTATCCTCATCTACCTTATTCACCGGGTCTTGTACCATGCAACTTCTGGCTCTTCCCAAAGTCAAAATGACCATGAAAGGTAAACGTTTTGAATCAATTCAGGACATTGAGGCAGCCACAACAGCACAACTAAAGACACGAAAGAGGACTTTCAGAACTGCTTCAGAAGGTGGCAAGAATGTTGGGATAAGTATGTTTGAAGCAAGGGGGAGTATTTTAAAGGAGATTAATGGCAATGTGTCTTTTACTGTAATACATTTTTAAAAATTTAAACATTCACCGTATTGTTTGATCACACCTTGTATGCACGTTCAAGTTTGAGAAGCACGCATCTAGTAGTTTGTCCACTTTGACAGATTTAGAACCTGAGGCCCAGAGAAGGAAACCACTTCTTCAGGTTCACACAGCTCAATAGTGGCAAGGGGGTAGGTGTTCTAAAGCCCAGATGCCTAGGCTGGTGTACTTCTCACGGCACTTGGGCAACTTCCTTGTGGTCTGAATCGTACTCCCCATCACTTCCTGGGCATTATGGGGATAATAGGTGGGAGTGAGTGAAGCCCTTCCTCTGCCCCTGGGCCCAGAATTCCTTCCCCTGTCTTCCCCTCCTCATCCAGACCCCTCTTACCTCGAATGGAGCTGCCCCCATTGTCACCTGGAATCCAGGTCAGAGTGATGGACGAAGCAGAGGTTTTGGAGACAGTGAGGCGGGGCTGATCCGGGGGAACTGTGAGGGGAAAGCCAACAGCCCTCACCACAAGGGTTGACTTCTGATGATGGAGGGCAGGGAGTACTCCAATGGGAAGGAGGGCAAGGGACTGGCTTTCCCACCTTCTAGGTGTTCCCCACCCCTCCTGCCTCTTCTTCCATTGGGCACTGCTGTTCCCCTGACGGTTGGTCTCCAGAAAATGGTGTTGGTCATTTTCTTCCATTCAACAACCCTCGCTCTCTCACACAATGGAATTTCTACTCCTTTTTCATCCCTGCCCCCACCCAAGCCAAGCCTGCCTTGCAGGGTCTCACCTTGCACAAGAAGGTTGACAATGATGGTGTCAAAGCCCCCAGTGTTGGTAGCTGTGCAGGTGTAGTAACCTGAGTCCTCAGCCTTCACAGCACGCAGCAGCAATGTGCCATTGGTATGGATGAGCCGGTGCCCGTCCATGGACACGGGGATGGCCGAGTCTTCACTGTGGGGGGTATGGGTTATGGCAAGCATCCCTTCACCTAGAGCTTCCCCCAGGTCTGTAAGCAAATAGAGCTGGGAGCAGAAGGAAGCTTGCTAGGGGACCCTGGATTCTTAGGTCTTTACTTAGGACTTCCTGGAGGGGTGTCTAGTAACCTTGGCCTTTTGTCCATCCAGGGAAGGGAGATCCTGAATCACAATAGAGGGGAGTCAGGGAGGCCAGGCCTGCTTGTGGTAGCTGTGTACCCAGCAGGGCCTCCACAGGGCTGGAGGTGACCGAGTCAGCTGGAAGGAAGGGACATCTGATTCCCTTCTTCATGACTCTTCTACCATGTTCCTCTCTGGGGGTCTCCCATCCCTCCAGGGTCCTGCACACACCTGTCCTTGGTCCACTTCACAGCAGGGGCTGGATCTCCCACTGAATTGCAAGGCAGCCGGACATCTTTCATCCAGGGTGTCGTCACTGTACCCCCAAATGAGATGATCTTTGCTGGGGCTACAAGGAAGAGAGGATGAGGGCCACCCTACTGCTACACCCAACACTGTCCTGGCCCCCCTTTCTCAGGGCTCCCCGAAATTCACATCAAGTCCTTCCTCTCCTACCTGACCTCTACCATAGGCGTGGGGTGGGGGACAGGTGCAGGGAATTTCAGCTGGGAGTCATTGATTCAACAAATATGTATCAAATACCTGTTACGGGTCAGCTATCCTATGAGACTCCAAGGATTCACAAAATGAATAAGATTTATTCCCTGTCCTTAAGTTGCTCACTGTCCAATGGGAAGACAGATACTTAAATCATTTGGGTGCAAGATACTATGGCAGGGGTAGGTGCAAGTACTCATGGGAGCACAAAAAAGGTGAAGTGAACTCTGCCAGGTTCAGTGGTAGTGGAGGTGGCAGCCAGGGAAGGCCTCTAGAATTGAAAGATTTGACTTGAATCTTGAAGGCTAAGAAGGAATTCACTATGCAGAGAAGAAAAGGCATGTCAGGAAGAGGGAGCAGCATGAAGTAGAGACACAGAGGCCTGAATCACATGGCAGGTGTGAAGACCTGCCGGTGCTTGGGGTGACCAAAGCCCAGGGTGAGTAAAGAGGAAAGGGCAGGAGCAGGGGTTAGAGGGGTGCGTAAGAGTAGAAGCATGGGGGGGGGGGCTCTGCTGGCAGAACAAGAAGGCTGGACTTCTTCTTGAGGTCATGAGGAGCCACTAGAGGCTTAAAAGTAAGTATTGACATGTTCAAAGTAGAGTTTTAAATAAATCCCTGGCTGCTTGCAGAGGATGGTTTGGTGGAGTTGGTCCTGAAGGACGTACATAGACCAGAGACAAGATGGTGGCCAGAGTGCAAGCTGGAGGTGATGTATGGCAGTGGGGAGGAGATGAGGAGCTCAGGATAATTGCTGCCAGGATTTAGGGTTTGACTGATTTCGGGGAAGAGAGAAAAGGGGAGGTGAGGATGGCTGCTAGGATTCCAGCTGGGCCCAGTAGGTGGGTGATAGTGTCCTCATGGAGACAAGGCATGTGAGAGGAGGGATGGGGGAGGCAGGAGAGATGGGAACACTTTGCCTCATGCTGAGACCAAAGTACCTGGGGACACGAAGTATATGGGGCAGTTAGAAAACAGCTGGATATAAATGTTCTGGAGCATAAGAGAGGTGGCTAGATCACAGACACTGATGTGGAAGTCAGCAGAGTGACTGGGGTCACCAGGACGGGGAATGTAGATTGACAGAGAAGTGGCGAAGCCCTGGGGTCAACACAGATTGGCACAGAAGAGAAAGGAATGTTCCAGGTGCGTGTGGGGGGTGGGGTGGGGACAGGAGTACACTGAGCGGGCCAGGATGCACAAGCAGCATCGTGGAAAGCAAGGGATGCAAAGATGTCAGGGGTCCAGGCAGAAGGTAATCCTGTCAGGTACCTCAGAGATCTCCAGGCCCTCAGCTAAAGGTCTTAAATTAACCAAGTGACCAAGTATTTCAGAGGGCCAGAGCAGGCCCCTTTAAGCCATGGGTCCCTTCTTGGGGAGATGGGAGATGTAAGGTGGTTGAGGAAGCCATGTTCAGAGGTTTGGGTGCAAGAAATGGAGGTTCCTCTCCTGTGAGGGCAGTGCTGGGATGACGAAGCTTGGGAGAGTAGGGAGGTCTGGGGGAGTTTCTGAGAAGGAAAAGGGCTGCTTGGAGCAGTGGTGGACTGCTGGGTGGCTGGAAAGACTTGGACAGAGCAGAGGGGCCCAAGTTAAGATGGCCTCCATTGGGGCCGGAGGGAAGTCTTGGGGAACACCAGGTTCTCTAGAGACTTGGTTCTGGGTCTGGTTCTGCCACATGGCTGTGGCTGGCTCCCTGAACTTGTCTGTGTCTTAGTGTATGTGTGGGGTGTTGGGAACAGCAGTGCTTGTCCCTCCTACCTCACAGGGCTGCTGTGAGGGCAGAAGGGGAAGATGTGTAAATGTGTTCTAGGAAGTACAAAGCCCTTCTGAGAATGTTATATTTCAGGCCCACAGGGGAAGGGGCCAAGCTTTTGCCAAGACACCCAGTCCCTCAGACTCTGTCTCGGGGCCAGTGCCAGCTGTTCTGAGAGGATTATAGGCTCTAGGCCCATTTCTTCCTGAAGGAGATGAGTTTAGGAAAAGGGGATGGTATGCCTCTGGGAGGAAGGGTCAGGGGAGGTTAGAAATGCTGAGGTTTTGTGGAAAGAGCCCCAACTTGGAGCCAGAAGATCTAGCCCACCGCTCTTAGCGGCCTTGCAGGCCATGCCACTCCCGTTTAGAGTGTTCACATGCAAATGGGATAACAAACCCTACTGGCAGGGCAGGTGGAGGCCCCTGGCCCACTCCAGGCCCTTAGTGAGTGCTAGCTGACTGAGCCTGCGGCAAGGGAGGGCTGATGACTCTTGTGTCCCAACCAAGGCAGCTCATCACCCCAGGACGGTGGCTGAGCTGAGGCAGGCACCACCCCATTCGAGTTCTGGTCCTGGGGCCTTGGGCTAGAGAGTCAGATGACTATGGAGAAGGCAGAGCCAAGAGGAAGGGCCCAGGGAGACCTGGCATCAAAGGAGAAGACCTGAAGTCACAGGCTTGTGTGGCTAAGTCCCAGCCCCAGGACTGGCACAGAAGGCAGCCTAGCACTTCTGTGAGGCTGGCTCTGTTTATCTTGGATTGCAGCCTCAGAACTGTCATTCCCTGTAAAGTGGGGTACATATGCCCCCATGGCACATGTATGCCCAGGTCAGGGATTTAGTGGGGTGCTCCCTGAGGTCAGCACAGTTTAATTCACCCTGTGCACAGCCTCTAGCCCAGACCTCCTTCACAATATGCAATCTGTAGTCTGTTGATCAAATGAACCAGCAATCAGTGGGGTCCCCTCCACCTGAGGTGTTCAGGCTTTGGGATGAGGGGGCTCTGCTTCACAGCTCTCTGCTCTGTGGAAGCAGTGTACCCTGTCTCAGCCTCCTCTGGAGAGCTGGTCATTGGGAAAAAGACTCCGCTGTGGGCTAGGGGTGGGTCCAACTCCCCTTTCTTTCAACCCTGGAATAGTTTGGAGTGAGGGACTGGCCCTTGGGTATCGGTGCTGCCTTGAGCCTGTTGTGAAGCTTTCCGGGAGTCAGGGGGCAGCAGAGGCCCAGTCTTGGTGGATGCAGGAGGGAGGCAGGTGGCCAGCCAGCTCCTCACAGACAGAAAAGGTGGAGGGGAGACATCCCCTATTTGGGAAGAACCAGAATTCTAGAAGGGGGCTTATGGCAACTTCTATCCCTGTGGTCCAGCCCCAGGCTGCTCACCCTTGCCAGCAGGCTCGATGGTGACCTTCTCGCTGCTGTTGCCCCGGCCAGCAGAGGTGACGGCAGCTACCCATAGCAGGTACTGCTGACCACGGTTCAGGTGGGCGATCCGGTAGAAGAGCTGCTCTGGACTCGTCTCATACTCGCTGGGAGCCTGAGGGGGCAGAGTCAAGGAAATACTAAGAACCACGGCCCTCGGACCTCTCGCCTCCAACTCCAACCTTCCTTGGGGCCCTGAGCTCAGAGGAGGTGATGGCTGGTGGTAGGGCGGCTGTGGAAAAGAAGGCCAGATCCTGCCTACTTTGCTCTTTTGGTTTTGGCCCCATAGTGAACAGTCTGCATGGGGCTTGGCCCTGGGAGCTGAGGGGCCTGCTCTGGGGTGTTGCTGGGTCAGCCTCAGTTTACCTCTTTGACTGATCCAGGTGCTGACAACTGTAGCGCCAGGCCAGGGAATGTGAATGTTTTGGGTGAGAGATGGAGCTAGGAGAATGGAGGAGAGAGGGTCCCAGGAAAACCTTGAGAAAAGGGAGTCTCTGGGAAGAAACTAAATTACTACATTTGCCTTATTAGAGTTGTAGACATGCTCCCCAGCCTGTCCCCACTCAGAGTTACCTCCGAGCCCTGTCATCCAATTACCAGTCCTTCATTCTGTAAGTGGCTAAACCATCTGGGGGTCGAAGGGGCAGGAGAGGGAACTCAGAAAGCTTCACTGGGCAACACTTTATTAATGATTATTAGTGGTATAGATCCCATATATATTTGTGGGTTATATAAATCTATAAATTTTTTAAACCAAATGACAGTTTTGACAAGTTGCCAACAAAACAATATCAGATCCCAGTGGTTTTACCAGTTGCTTTGATGAAAAGATTATGTTGCCTTGGAAACCAGAGGCTCAGATATTGAAATGAATTTGAGAAGGAGCTTTTGATAAGCGCTAGTTTGCAGACCTCCTGTCAGCCTCTTCCCTGGTGCAGGCAGGATGGGGCTGACTTTCATTTTATTTTATTTTTTGGTCAGCCGCAGGGAAGGGAAAGGAGGACAGCACTAGGGCCTCTTTGAAATCAGGGTGGAAGTCTAGGGAGGGGGAGCCCCTGGAACAGATGGGGGGACCCTGAGGCCAGAGGGAGCTAATAATTAGTTATCTCTGCAGTCACGGGATCTTGCACACAAGTGCGCACATGCACACGCTCACGTACACAGACATGTGGATGCATTCATCACATGCTGAAGGTCAGACCCCCAGACCTCCAGGGTCACAGAGGCACGTTCTCGGTACCCCATGGGAGGGCTGAAGGGCCCAGTGACTTATAACAGAAGAAAACATCTTTTTGGGCCTTAGGCTGTCTGCAGGGGAATGTTATGGAGGAGGTACAGGCTTCCCGCAATACACAGAGCTCGCTTGCGAACTCCTCCTCCTATCTCCCTCGTGGAGATCTGGCCTTGAACCCAGGAGGTCCCTGCTGGGGACAGGTGCAGAGCCACCATGGGCCCTGGGAGTTGGGAAGTCCTTTCAGGCCACAGCACTCGGGGGCCTGCGTACATAACTGTAGTTCATATCTGTGCATGAGGTAGGCTAGTGTAGTGGCTTCAACACTTGCCTGCCCTTCTTACTAGGCATATGACTCCTAAGTATCTTTCATAGTTCCTGGCACCCCAGTTTTCTCCCCTGCAAACTAAGAAAGTAATACAGCTCTGCCTATCCTGTGTGGTTACAGTGAGGCACAAATGAGGCAAGGGCTATATAAGTCCTCCGTAAACAGGGACATGTTCTTCTCCTGGTTCATTTTTCTATGAGGGTAGAGGTGGTGTGTGTGTGTGTGCGCGTGCGTGTGTGTGTGTGTGTGTGCGCGCGCGTGCGTGTGTGTGTGTGCGCGCGTGCGTGTGTGTGTGTGCGCGTGCGTGTGTGTGTGTGCGCGTGCGTGTGTGTGTGTGTGTAAAGAAAAGTTGAGTGTAGTTGCTTGTGTGTGTCAGTGTGTACTTGAGTGTACATTTGTGTCTATGCAGGGCAGGAAAGATTTGGATTCCTCTTGAAGGTATTAGCATTTTGCTCAGCCTTCCTTTTAATCTGGACTCCCTAAGAATCTGCTGAAATTTCTTTAAAAAACACAACCAGACTCCTAAATAAAGTCCCAGTGGATCAAAGGTTTAAAAAAAATGTTAAAACTACAAAAGAAGAAACTATAGTAGAACACTTATCTGTCTTTCTAATCACAAAAATAAAGGCAAAAATAATCAGTGGAAATGATTTATAAATTTGAATTATATAAAAAGAAAACCTATGGTACACCAAAAATAGAATCAAAAGGCAAGCAATGAGGGCCGGCCGAGTGGCTCAGTTGGTTAAGAGCTCGCTCAAGAGTTTGAGCTCTGAGCAACAGCGGTTCGAGTCCAGCCCGAGCTGAGCAGCCCCTGAGCTGCCAACAGGTAGCAGGATGGCTCAGCTAAAAAAACAAAAAAAAAACCAAAACAAAAAAACAAAACAAACAAAACCCCCCCCCCCAAAAAAAAAAGGCAAGCAATGACCTGGCAAATATTGGCAACCTATATGATAAAAAAATTATTATCTTCAATATTTAAAGATCACTCAATATGAAAAAACATGAGCCACTCAAATAAAAAATGGACAAAGCACATAGGAGTTGACAATTACCCAAATATGAAAAAGAAAACACAAAACAAAACCAGCCAATGAACATATAACAATAATAACTAGTAATCAAAAAAATATAACTGAAAATAAGACACATTTAAAAAACCCAACTGGCAAAAATGAAAAACATATAACACCTTGGATTAGCATGGGCACAAGGAACAAGTATGTACTTAGGATGCTGGTGGAAGCATAAATTGGTGCAAACTTTCTGCAGGGTAATTTGCAAATGTGTATGCAAATCTTAAAAATATTGTTTGTAACCCGGGAATTCCTACAGAAATTTACCCTAAGAAAATAATAAATCATGTGCACAGAGACATTTATGGGGAATGCTCAATGAAGCATTATTTATGATGGTGAAAATTTGAAAATAGATTAAATATAGAATAATGAGGGAACTGGTTAAATACAGGCATTCAAGATCATATTTTAAAAAATATTTGATAGTGTGGCAAGGTGTCTACATATATTAAATGAAAAATTCAGATTACATAACATTATGTAAAATTGTATTTTAAGTTTGTAAAATAAAACAAAACCCATAATATATGTATAGATCAAGGACTGGAGCGCTATATACCAAAATATTGCCAGTGTTTATTGTTAGGGAATGGTCATACAAGTAATTTTTCCTTTCCTTTCTATCCTTTTATATATTTACAGAATTTTCTACAATACAATTGCATTATTTTGATAATCAGAGAAAAGCAACAAATGTTTTAAAGTCTTTGGTAAAATTTCTAACAGGACTCCATACAGCTGTCATCACCCACCAGGCGTAACTCACTGGGAGCCAATGCCATGTGCAGTTTCCCACACCTTGTCTGAGGATTCCGCACATACTTCCATACACTCCAGGATGTAGTCACACACTCAGACTCACATGCATTTGCCTCTAACCCCATTCTCATGCCCACGATTTTGCACTGTCACGTATACATGAGTGTGTTCTCATCCCTAGCACTCACTCCTGGAGCTCTTTTATAAATGAATTTTTAATGCACTTGTTTGGAATTTAGAATATATTTGTGCAAAATGATAACATCACACAATGACACACAGTGGTTAGATTCTGGGTCCCTCACTAAGCCCAGTCCTTATTCCAAAATGTGGCTAAAATTCTCTTCACACTAGCACACCTAGCCCCTTCTGTGACAGTGTCTGATGGGAAATCTTCCCACGAGAGTGGAGGTTCCTACCCATTCAGGACATGAACAGGAGGGGAGGGACCGATGGTCTCCAGCAGCAGGAGAACCAACAGTTCTGCTCTGGGGCCTGGGAAAGGGGACACCAGCCAATCAACTGGGGGCTCCTGAACTGAGCTAATGAGGAGGCTGAGCTCCCAGATACAATCCCTCTGAAAGACTTCATTGTCACAGGAGGAAACAACTGCACAAACCCATGCTCGAGAATCAGTTTATGAAGGGAAACTTGCCCAGTGTCTAAGGCTTTACAATTGCCAGGCTGCTAGCAATTCATTCATCAAACACGTGTTTAGTGACAATGATGTTCCAGGTACAGTGTTTGGCAGCTGGTCCCAAGGATGAAAAGATGCTACTTCCTCACAGGGCTCCACAGACCGGTGCGGGAGACAGATAAGTGCACAACTAATTGCCATCTAATGCACTCAGGGTATGATAAAGAACAAGAGCACGCCATGATAGCGATCAACAGGGGCTGAGGTGTAGGGGTGTGAAAAGGCACAGCGTGTGTCCAGAATGGTGACAAGCTTAGTGTAAGGAGGGCTCAGAATGTGTGTGGGTGGGAGGGCTGGGGAAGTGGGGAAAGAGGGGCAGAAGACATGGCTGGAAACGTTGGCTGGAAAATTGGCCCAACCACCCAACAATGAGAAGCTGTTCTCAGCCCATCGTCTGCAGACCCTAGGACCCAGCATTCCCTCTCCTACCTACACGCCCAACAGAAATGCATGAGCACCAAGAGACATGTACAAGAATGTTCACGGCAGCACCATTTGTAATAGCTCCAAACTGAGAACTACGCAAATGCCTATCAACGGATTGCACAATGGATAAATACATTGTGACACGCACACACAATCAAAAACTATATAGAAGTGAGAGTGAATGATCTATAACCACACACAACAATGTGGGTGAAATTCACAAATTCAAAATAATGTTGAATAAAGGAAGCCAGACAAATGGTACGACTCCATTTAAAACACGCACAAAAAGAGGCAACACTAATCTGAAGTCAGGACGGTGGTTACCCTGCCAGGGGAGGGTGGAGATAGGAAGGGGCCAAAGAGGCCTTCTGGGGTGTTGTAATGTCCTGTTCCCTGGCTCTGGGTGCCACTTGCCTGGGTGTGCTGGGATTCATGGAGCTGCACAGTCACGATATGTGCACTGACCTGCATGTGAGGCAGTGGCCGTGAGGATGGAGAGGAAGGGATGGAGTCACTGAAAAGACGTTTCTAGGCTTCCCCTCTGGTAACAGAACTCTGGCCTCATTGGTGAGGAGCTGGGCCACCTACCACTCAGAGAGTAATTCAGAAAGACCGCAGGAAAGCAGAGAGCAGAGGAGGAGATGATGACACAATTACTGAGCAATTTCAGGACAGCTTTTCTGGCTGCCAGAAGCTCATCCGTCACAGCACAAGTTGCTGATGGAGGGGGAAGCTGGCATCCTCCTGCGTCTTGCTCCCCCATCCTGAGCACATCTCCTGGACAGTACTCTCGGCCTTCCAGCAGGCATCCCTCAGCTTCCCCACCAGACTGGAAGCCCCCTGAGGGCAGGTATCTTTGCACCTGCTCTTGTAACTAGAACAGTAGTGCTCCACAGTAGTCACCCAGCAGCACTTTGCGGTTGAGTGGCTGAAGATAAGGGGCAGGGGGAAGGATGCATATTACGGGGTGTGGCTGCATATCTTACTGCACCCACCTGAATCTTCTCTTCCCTTTCTGTGGGGCCCCTCTGACTCCTTTCAGCATTCAGTTGAAGGGCAAGGGGTAGTCCCCTGCACTGTGGTCCAGCCTGGGGGAAGCCTCCTCCACCCCAGGGTTTGGGCACATATAACAATCTTTCAGTTCTCTCCCCTCGGCTAGGCCCAGCCCTGACCTAGAGAGATGCCCTTGCCTTCTCTCAGCTGTCCCCCATATTTTCTCCTCCCTTCAGCTGGCTCCATGCTGGGGGGGGGCACTCAGGACAGAGCCCCACCAGCCCTACAAGCCCAGGCTGACCATGCTAAAAAGTGATTCATTTCCAGAGGCTATGGACCAGCCAGTCCCCAGTCAATAGCTCTGGGGTCCACTAGGGGCCTCCTTGGTCAGCCAGACCAAAAGAGCCAAGGCCCTGGCCTCTCTTTCATGCTTCTTGGTCTTGACCAATCAAAGGGCCTCCAGAGCTTGTGACAATCTTGTAGCCCCTGGAACAGAGGACTGACCCAAGGTGGACATTGGATAAGGCTTTAGCCACTCTTGTGTGACTAGAATCCAGGTAGAAACACAGATATAAGCAGCCCCAGGGTTTGACCTGGAAGCCGGCTGATCTACAGACAATTTTTTCCTTCTTCCTGTCCCCCTCGTCCTTCCACCTGGGCCCACTTACCGGCTGGCCAGACCCGGGACTGGAGCAGAAGATGGTGTACTTGCGGATCACCCCGTTGGGCTTGGTTGGGGGGAGCCAAGACACGACCACACTGCTGGCAGATGAAGGGACAGCTTTGATGCCAGCGGGAGGACCTGGAACTGAGCAGGGAGAAGGCCAGCTTAGAGAAAGGAGGAGCACAGCCTTGGGGAAAGAATGACAGGATGGGGAGAGTGAGGCAGATCAATGTGGGAGAGCTTCCTGGAGGAGGCATCCTTGAAGTTTAAAGGGGGAGGTTTCAGCATGACCAACAGGTGGGAGGAGAAAGGCAATCATTTCAGGCTTGTAACAAAGCCTCTGAGATGGAGACACTGGGAATAGCCAGCTGCAGAGCTGTTTGGCTAGAACCAAGGAACTAGGACCCACAAGAGAGAAATACAGCCCACGAGGAATTCATCTTGAGCCCTATGACCCTAACCGGCTCCCCACCCCAATGCTATATTGACTAATAGCTTGTATTTAGGCCAAATATACTGGGCACTTTACTTTTTGGCCTGTGAGCACCTTGATGCTGGAGACTTCAGGCTCAAAGGGTAGGCCTCTTCCTGAGGGTCCAGGCTGTGGTCAACCAGTGGATGACGGTGTTTCCTGCCCTAGGAGTGCTGGCTAGGCCCTTTCTGTTTTCAGGAGGGACAGTCTACTTTAGAATTGGCTGGGAAATCCATCCTAAGTGGATCCCAAATCATATGGACTCTAACCTTCCCTCACTCCCATTTCTGGGCCGGCCTGGCCTGGCTGGGACCCCAGGGCACTCTGGCTGTGAGACTGGAAGCTTCCTGCTCTCAGCCCACACTGTCTTTCTTCATCTCTCCCTTGTATTGTTGTGTGCTTGTCTTCCCTCCGGGGAACTTGAACCCGCCTTTGAGGACAGTGATGGCATCCTATTCAACTTATTTTACCTCTCTGAGCCTCGGTTTCCCCATCTATACAATGGACATAAGTGACAACCACATTAAAGGTTTTAGGGAGAATTAGTGCTAATTAGAATAAAGCACCTGGCACAGTGCCTGACACATAGAAGACACTTGATAAATTGCAACAGTTATTATTTTGCATTCCTTCTCCTGACCCTCAGCTCAGCTTCTAGCACCAACCTCATTTTTTTTTTTTAATCTAGTAAGTGGTCAACAGCTCTAGGTTAAATAAAATAACGAGATACAGGATCATCATTCATCCAGGGGCCTCAGCCCAGAAGTCGGCAATCATCCTTGCGCTCACCCTCCCTCACTGCTGCTACACCCCTGCCATTCCACCTCTGCCCATGTCTCTGCAGTTGTGGAGGGCAGGGGCCTATGGATGGCCACTTGGGCAAGTGTGATAACTGTAGTGTTCAGACCTTTTCTATCCTGGCATACTTTTTTTCTTGTCAGCTGTTGAGAGCGGAATGTTGAAATCTTCCACTATAACTGAGGATTTGTCTACTTATCCTTTCAGTTCTGTCAATTTTAGCTTTTATATATTTCGAGGTTATGCTATTAGTTAGGTTCACACAAATTTAGAACTGTTTTATTTGCCTGGTAAATGGAATCTTTTATCATAACAGAGTGTCCTGCTTTATCTCTAATAACGTTTTTTTGCTTATAGTATAGTATGACATTAGTATGACATCGTATGACATAGTCTGACATTAATATTCCAATTTTCTCTTTGACAATTTTGCATGGTATGCCTTTTATCTTTTTCCATCCTTTCATGTTGAACCTTTTTATACCTTTATGTTGCAGATGTTTTCTACCAACAGCACATATTGGGTTTTGTTTCACTGCTAGCCAGCCTGATAGTCTTTATCTTTTAACTGGAGAATTCTGTCATGAATGCAATTTTGAATGCAGTTATTGATCCATTTGAGTTTAAATATTCCGTCTTACTAAATACGTTCCATTTGTCCCACCTATTTTCTTTTTCTTTCGTTTTGTGCCTTCTTTTAGACTGAGTGTTTTTTAAAAAATACTGTATTTCTCCCTCTCTATTAGTTGGGCTATTATATAGTCTTTCACTACTTTTAGTGGTTACTGAACAGATTACAACATGAATCTTTAACTTAACAAAGTCTAATATTATTAATTGGTACTTTTCTTCTCAGACAATGCAAGGGTCTTAGAATTTCCAGTTACCCTCTCCCAGCTTATATGCCATTGTTGCATATTGTAACTCTGCATATATTTTAGACCCTCCCTAAGATGATGACATCATCATCATCATCTTTTTTTTTTTTTAAGATTTTTTTTGGGGAATTGGGGGGATGGGAACAGTGCTGGGGAATTGGGGGAAGGGGAACAGACAAGTTGCTGTCATTTTGTTCTTCAGTCTAGTTGTGGAGGACGTTGCTTCACTGGCCCAAGTTGGCACCATCATTGCGCTCTTCCCAGGCGAGGCAGATCAGTCGCCGGCTTCTGGGCGGCCGCTCACTGCGGCTGCTGGCCGCTCACGCTGGCTGCTGGCTACACACGGTAGCCCATGTCAACCCACTGCCACAGGGACTGCAGCCCACGCCGTCGCCGGCGACTCAGGGCAGCCCAGCTCCAGGTTGAGCTGTTGTTCAGCATCTTAGCTGTGGAGGGCAGTGTCACTGGCCCTCATATGTGGGATCCGAACCGGGGCCCTCTGGCGTCCCAAGCCAGTTCTTAACCATCGCGCCACGCGGCCGGCCCCTCATCATCTTTTTTATGCAGTCAGTATTAATTGATGTTTACTCATACTTTTATCATCTAATTGCTGTTCTTTCCTCCCAGCATCAGTGAGCTTCCACCTAGAATGGGATCATTTTCATTCTAACATAAAGAATGCACTTTAATATTTCTCCAGGACAGGTATGTTGGTGATAAATTCTCTCAGTTTTTGTTTGTATGAAAGTTTCTTTATTTCCTCTTAATCTGGAAGAATATCTCTGCTTGGTATAAAGTCATAGGTTGATAGCTATTTTCCTTTTATACTTTAAATATACCATTGCATTGCTTTCTGGCTTCCATTGTTTCTGACAAGTTAGCTGACAATCTATGTGTTGTTCCTTTGAAGGTAATTGATTTTTTTCCTTTGGTTGCTTTTAATATTTTTCTCTCTGTGTTTTTTTGTTTATAAGCTTTATTATGATGAGCATAGGTATGGATTTCTTTAAGTTATTTCCTGTAGAGTTTGTAGAACTTCTTGCATTTGTGGCTTGAAGTCTTTTATCAGTTTTGAAAAGTTTTCAGACATTTTATCTTCTGCCCCACTTTCTCCTCTTCTTTGGGTTGTCTTCTCACACCTTCTATGTCCTTGATATTCAGAATGTGGTCCATGGGTCAGCAGCAACATCACCTGGGAGCATGTTAGGAATGCAAAACCTCAAGTTCTACCCCAGACCTACTATAACAGAATCTGAATTTTAACATGGTCCCCAAGTGATTTGTATGCATAGTCAAGTTTGAAAAATCTTGCTCTATGTCTTGCTTGCTCTTTTATTTTCCATTCATTTGTCTTTCTGTGCTTCTTTTGGATAGTTCCTTCTGACCTATCTTCCAGGTCACTAGTTATCTCTTCAGCTGTGTCTAATTTGTTTAAATTAGCTCTTAATTGAACTAAACTGAGTTCTTAATTTCAGGTATTAGTAATTTTTGTTTCTAGGTTTTCCATTTCATTTTGTTTCTAGAGTTTCCAATTCTCTTAAAATTTAAATCTTATTAAGAATGATTTGAAAGTCCATATTTGATTAAAAAAAACAAAACAACCACCACCCTATGTTTGGAATCCTGGTGGGCCTCTTTCTTTTGTCTGCTATGTTTTTTCTGCTGGCTTTTGTTCACATTATCCCTATTGTTTTTTTTATTGTACGCCAGGCACAGTATTTGCAAAATTGTTTGTAAAAATAATTTGAGGCCTCAGATGATGTAATCTTCCTAAAGAGAGAATTCATGTTTGCTTCTGATAGGTACCTAGCAACATGGGGTTGCTTCAATATAACTTCCATGACTGAGATGTTTGAAGCTGAGCTGTTTACTTTTGGTCCACATTTAATCCTAGAGTGCTATCCTTTATGGTCTTAACTCAAAGTGAGGGGGGTTCACCAGACAGACCCACATACCCTGGCAGGCCCTGGCCTCCAATTCATGCCTTTCTCATGCTGCTCAGATTCTCAGCCATTGCCTCCAGTTCAGCAAATGTCCCCCAGGGGCAAATCCATTCCAAATGCCAGGTTTACCTCCTGGGCTTCCATTCTCCCTTGGATCCTGGCCCAGTAGTTCTTCACTCTCCTGCCAGCAATCTGATGCCTTCAAGCAGGTGTTTTAAAAAATATGTTATCCAGATTTTCTAGTGTCCTTAGTAGGAAGGAGAGTGGGTTTGGGTTATCTAGTCCACCATTACTGGAAGTGGAAATCCTCTGATATGTTTCTCAAAACTTGTCTCTCCTCCTCCCTTCATCCTTACTGCTGTTGCCCTAGCATACACCTTCCTCGTCTCTGTTTAGATGCCCATGGGTTCTAACAGGCCTCTCTGACACTGGCCCTTATCTTCCCACTCCCTTCCTGTCATCAGCCCTCTACGCTTTTACAAAAGATACCTTCCTAAAACATGGGTCTAGTCAAGCCTCTTCTTCAGTTAAAGATCTTTAAAGTGGTCTAAAATCCAACCCCACTTTGCACTCTGAGGCCATGTGGCTATTCACAGGGGAATAGCCACGTGGTATTTGGTATTCACAGGGGAGCTAAGGAGTAGGCAAGAGGCTTTGTCATTCATAAACAGTCCAGTTAAGCCAGATGGGAACCAAGCTCAGACTGAGAGATCTGGCTGGAAGAAATGAGCTTGGATTTATATGTTTGCATTTTATCTTTTGGTTTTGTTTTTCTCTAAATTTCTTGATAATATTTTTCCTTTGGAAAAATGCAACATCCTGAGGGGTGGTAGTGGTAAGTGAGTAGTCACTGTGTCTTCAGATTAGGCTATTTGCCTAAGCTCCCATGGCAGAGCTGGAATTGGAATCTGGACTTGTCTGCTTTCCAAGTCAGCTGAGAAATGACTGTAATACCTGCCACCTACAAATGGGAGAATGTGGTAGAGTTAGGGTAGCACTGGTGGAGTAGGCATGGTTGTCTGCCTACCCACCCTTCATTATTCTTTCCTATTCCTTGCAAACAGAGCCTCACTTTTGCTCGGGTACCCATACTTCTCCACCCCTTCGAGAAAGCTGTCTCCATCATCTACACCAGAGGATTTATCATGCTTGGGGGAAGTCAGCCATGATAATTCCATTCACCTTTCAGTGACTGGCTTAACAAGAGGCATGTTGCCCCACTGTGGCCAATGGGAAATGAGGATAAATCTGTTGAAGGGGTTTCTGGGAAAGGTTTCTTTCACTCCTAAGAGAGGCATGCCCAAAGGAAGAGACTGTTTTTCTCACTCTGAACTCTGTCTTGTCTGGTGTGGTGCCTGGAGCTGTAGTCATCTTGAAATCATGAGAGTAATAGATGACATACTGAGGATGACAGAGCAGAAAGATGGTGACCACTGAGTTAACCAACCCTGGAGCTGCCCTACTCAAGACTTCTTGTTACATCTGATAATAAATATGCTATTGCTTAAATCTTTTTTTAGTTGTATTACTCACAACCAAAAGCTTCCCAACTGATACAGTGGTATGATGGACAGTACAGAGGATATGGAAGCAAGAATGCCTTCATAGGCCACCTATTAGCTGAGTGACCGTCAGTAAGTTGCTTTAGCTCTCTAGGCTCCAGTTTTCTCACCTCTAAAATGGAAATAATACCCCTACCTCATAGGGCTATTGGGAAGGTTAAATCATGCCTATGACAGCATATCATATACATGCCAAGTTATGACCCCTATTCTGGATGAGACCTCATCTGAGAGTAGATTCCTCTGGCCTAGGCCTTCCTTTGGGGACACCAATTCCCTCCGGGGCAGGTGTGTTCACTGGCAGCAGTCATTTCATTGCCAGTACCTTGGTAGCCTTACAACAACTACCATTTGCTAGCGCTTGACATTTTAGAAAGGATTTTATAGTTAACTTGCTTCTTACAACAACTTGATGAGACATCACTTATCCCCATTTTATCATGAGGAAGCTTAGGTTAAGAAAGGTTAAGTGACTTGTCAATAAATGATAGGGCTGGGGCATGCATATTTGTAGTGTTTGCCAGTGCCTCCTCCACTTTGTGAAGCTGCTACCTTGGGGGCCTGGCTCTGACTGTGTGTGTCCCTGTGTGTGGCTCTGTAGGCAGCTCTAGACTGGACAGTTGAAAGCTCCCTACAGGGAGGGATGGTGCTCCCTGACATCTGGATTCCCTGGTAGGGCCTGACCTCAGTCAGTTAAACACATGCAGTGCTTAGGGCTCAGGCATTGCATCACAGTAGGATGCCGAAATTCTGGGGGCCCCAGTGGTTCATTTCTAGAGGTTGGGAAGATGCCTGTGTATGTGTGGCCCTGAGCCCTGACAAGGGGCCAGGCTCTGAGCATCATCCCTATCCGATCTCCAAACAAGAGCAGGTGGCTCTGCCTAAATCTGTTGCAGGAAGCCCTGATGGGTGTATTAATGAGAGGAAAAGCAGAGCAGGCAGGTTGGTAAATATTTGCTTGCTCAGAGCTTAAAGCAGGGAGGGGCTGATCTAATGGAAGGGGGCGGAGGGCTTTGAGAGAGTGGGGAGCATTTAGCTGAGCTGGGGGTTGCTCTGGGAACTTCTCCATCACCACCCCTAGTCTATTGTTCCTTTTCAACTCTTCTAACCGTTTCAGTACCTTCTGCCAAATTGTATGGGTAGGACCCAGATTTTGGAAAAACCGACGTTGAGTGGGAAGGAAGCCATAATACCAACAATGGCTACCGTTTCTTAAGTGCCCATTGGGGCCAGCCACTCTTCATATAAACCAACTCTTCTAAAAATATAGTACCTGGTTCAGAACATTTAAGAATCAACTAAGTGATGGGGTTGGGCTGAGGTGTACAGCTCTGGGCCCAGGATGGCAACCCGGCCCTTCTCCTGATCTGTTGTCTCCTGGGTTGACTTGGCTCCTAGCCTCCCCTACTCCCTTATTTTATCACTCTATCCTTGAGGCTTGGCTTCTTCTTCTTCTTTTTTTTTTTTTTAAAGATTGTATTGTGGAATTGGAGGAAACAGCATTGGGGAATTGGGGAAGGGGAGCAGACAAGTGACTGTCCTTTTGTTCTTCACTCTAGTTGTGGAGGACTTCCCTTCACTGGCCCATGTTGGTATTACCATTGCGCTCTTCCCGGGTGAGGCAGATCAGTCGCCGGTCACTGGACGGCCGCTCACGGCAGCTCACGGCAGCTCATGACAACACACGCCGGCTGCCAGCCACTCACGGTAGCTTACGGGAGCCCACTGCAGCCTACGCCGTCGCCGGCGACTCACGGCAGCTCAGCTCCAGGTCGAGCTGTTGTTTTCCATGTTAGCTGTAGAGGGCACAGTGTCACTGGCCCATGTGGGATCTGAACCGGTGGCCCTGCTGCTCAGAGCTCGCGCTCCCAAGCCAACTCTTAACCAACGAGCCACTCGGCCAGCCCGAGGCTTGGCTTCTTGTCTCTGGTTTTCCTCGAGTTCTGCTCCCATGGAGAAGGGCTTTGAGATCATAGCTCCAAATGGAGGCACAGCCCATTGCCTCCCTGAGAGACCGCCAGCACTCTGGAGTACAGGGCCTGGCCCGTTCTGGGGCCTCTGTAGGGTGATTGCCAAGTCCGTAACCTGGGATGTATCAGATGACGTTCCCGTTCCTCCCCAACCCCAAACATCTGTATCCAGAGGAAACCAGGCTGAACCTTGCAGGGGAGCAGATGCCACAAAAAGGATGCCCTTAGGGTGGGGTTGGGAGGAGAGGCTTTATCTGGCTTTTGCCCTGGAGTTACAGGAGGATAAGCTGTGTTCTCCCAAAGCAGGGCCCCAGAGTCCTCAAAGTGTCAGGAGAAAGGATGGCGCTCTGCTCTCACCCTTCTCCTCTGGGGGGATGGGCAGTGGGGTGGCGCAACGGCATGCACAGCAACAGGCCCTGGGGAGCCTCCCGAGGGCCGAGCCCCGCAGCCTGCAGGGGACACTCACCGTCCTCCTTGGTCTGGATGTAGAGCACGCTGCTGCGTACTCCATCCCCGGCCTGGGTGTAGGCCAGCACCTGCACGCTGTAGTTAGTGAATTTCTCCATGCCGCGCAGCTCCACCCGCTCCCGCGTGGTGGTGATGTTCTGCATCTCACCCCATTCTGCCAGAGACAAGCAGCCTCTGAGTGCGGCCCAGACCGGCCATGCTATGGTCCCCCAGCCGCTGCCCCTCTACCAGCCTGGGCTCCTGTCAAGCCTGCTTCACTGGGCTCAGACCTCGACCGCATGTGGTGGCAACTAGGGGCACCCTCCACCTCAAGGTACATGGGGGCAGATTTGGGGTACTGCTTCCAGGCCATACCTCTCCCCAAGTGGTCCCACTAAGGTGAGTGGTATATGTGTCCTGGTCTTAGCCCCCAGCCAACTGTGCACCAAATTCAACTTAATACTCTCTTTTTAGAATACTTCCATCTCTCTATCTCCCCAAGCAACATTTTCCCCTCGACCATCTGACCCCTTCTCCATGTGAGAGACCCCAGGAGTGACTTGGACCTGGTGGGATGGTCAGCAGCCAGTCGTCCTTGCTGCCCCAGTGCCTCCTTGGGCTCTCAGATCTCCCTAGGTAGTGCATCAACCTGGGTGACTCATGACAGGCTGAGGCTGCCTCCACAGCATCGGGGTGCTCCTGGGCCAGCACCCTAGGTAGTGGGAGGGGCTAAGTCCTCATTACTTTCTCCCACCACAGAGGACACCCTCCCTTCAAAGAGCCCACTCAGAGAACCTGGGTGGGTTGGTGGAGCTGACAGCCTCAGCCAGGAAGGGCCAGGCCTTCCTGCGGCTCAGTGGGAACCCATCATCCTTTCTGTCAAGGAACTTGCTGTAGACTCTGAAGAGAAGCTTAGAAAAAGGGTCCCACAGAAGGGCCAGAGTTTTCGACAGGCCCCTGAGCTGGCAGCCCTCCCACTGGGAGTACTGGTAGAAAGACAGGTCTAGACATTAGCTGAGGACAGACTTTATAGAAGCCCAGTGCCTGCAAACGTACCCCAGCACCTCCCCAGGGACCTGGCGCAGGCAAAGGGTCCAAGGCAGAGGACTGAGCCAGAGGAGGGCAGCAGCCTGCCAGGGTCCAGAGGGTGAGAATGCCATGCCCAGCTTGAGGGGACTTTCATGCGGGGGAACCTTGGAGGCCTGAGCAGCGAGACCTTTTTCCAGGAGGTCAGAAACCAGGGCAGACCTGTCTAGGACTGGAGCCAGAGACAGACCCAGGAAGAAGGCAGCATGGCCAACAATCCAGATGGCCTTTGGAGATTAGAGAGGCCAATGTCTTTCTCACTTGGAGGGGCTGAGCGGGGGAAGTGTCTAGGCTTAGAAAAGAAGAAGCAAGTTCTGGAAAAAGAATGACCACCCATTACCTGGCTCAGCACAGATATATGAGGTCATCTCACAGCAAAAGGACTTGGGAGACCTTGAAATCAAACCCCTGATCTCCAGGCCTCTGTGCTTTTGGAGCAGACAGTGGAGGTGGTGACAGAGAAAGACACTTCCTGTTGGCAGTGTGTCTGGGCAGAGCAAGTATCCAGGTGGGGAAGGGGAGGGCAGCGGCCCTGGAGAGATGGCTGTGAGCTGGAGTCCCAGGTCCTCCAGGAAAGAAGAGAGGGGGCCAGAGGCTGGTGGCCGAAGGCTTTCTGGGGAGCAAACTCACTGTAGCCCTCTGTGGCCCCCGGTAGAACATTTCCAGAGTTAGGGATGCTGGTTCTCTGGCTGGCGAAACTGCAGACTTCCTGGTCATTGCCAGGCCTGTGTACACCAGTGGGCAGGGCTGGGTATGTTCATGGGGCTACACAAGCCTGTTTGGACCAGTGCATCCCAGGGGAAGAAAGCCACCCAAAGGGTTGGGACACTGTCTTGGTTTTTCTCCATCTGCCATCCCTGCCCCGAGCTCCACGTGGGCGCTTGTCTGCCCTTCTCCAGGTGCCGTGCAGCTCCTCTGCGCACACGGCACGCTTCGCTGCCTGGCCAAGGGGCAGCTCTCCTCGGTTCTGTGAACCCTGCTTCCGCCTCTAGACCCTTCAGCCCTAGGTAGTGACTGCTTCCTGCAGGTGCTGGTCTCAGGTGCCCCACCCTCCCTCCGCACCCCTCTGGAAGCAGTGCCTTCATTAAACTCTCTTCAATTGCCCCCTTGGAGTGTGCCAACTGTTCCCTGCTGACACTGATATGGCCATCAAGGCCTAATACCAACACATTACATTAGAAAAGCAAATAGGTCCCTATCACCCATGAAGTCATTCCCAGACTTACTGCTGCCTGCCCCCCCATCCCCATCCCCCACTAGAGAGGTGACCCTGGCCCTGGACTCTGGCCCAGGAGACTATGTGCAGACGTGGGGGCCGCACTTCCGCTCGACATCCGTGGGAAGATGCCCAGCTCTAATTAAGCATGGACACAGACCCCCCCCCCACGCTGCACCTCTCGCCCTGGGACCCAGCCGTCATTCCCAGCAGACTCACCCCCATCAATGTAGAGTGACCAGAAGATGACCCTGTAGCCTTTGAGGACGCCATTGAGAGTGCTGCGTGGGGGCTCCGACCAGGAGATGACGGCCACATCAGAAGTGATGGACAGGGCCCGGACATTCTCAGGGGGCTGGCTGGGCACTAAATGGGCAAGGAGAGAACCAAACAGCTCAATCAGGAGGTACGACACCACATATGTGTCCCAGGTCAGGCCCTGCTGCCCAGTCAGAGGAACTTCAGGTTAGACAAGTGGAAGGACCTCCCGACTCAGTGAGTGATTAGAGTTTGGGCCAGGAAGTGAACCAACTCTCCTTTCCTGGTGATTTGGGTAAACAGAGATCTTTACAGACTTGGTTCCCTGTTCTCCAGGTTTCATTCTCCTGGTTCTGGGTAAATGGTGGGGGAAGAAGGTGATGAACTCTGGGCATCAGCCCCTGGGAATTCACCAGTGGGCACCACAGCCCACGGAGTCCACCTCTGCTGACCAAGGCAGAGCCTGGAAGACCTTCAAGCCAGCCCTGGGGGGTAACTGTAATTGATGATCTTGTCTGATGGCTGCCAGCCCTTAGGTGTCACCTGACCAGGGCTTCTGAGCCAAGGCCTGGCTCTAGGGACCCTTGTGTCCTTGTGCCAAGCTGAGGGAACGCAAAAGAAGGAAGGATGATTTCAATTAATCCTGATGAAGGGGGAAAGAGGTTCCGTAGGCACCTTTGGGCCTTCTGGGATCTCTACACCTTTGTCCCTGCTCAAATGCCTCCGATGATAAGAAAACACTCGCTGAGGCCAACTTAGGTGGTCCACCCTGCCATTAACCCGCTCCCTTTGAGAGCTACCTTTGAGCTTTACCTAAGTTTCACTCCCAGAGTTGGCCCTGTGCAGCTCACCCTTTCTGAGATGACAGAGGGTGGGGACACCAGGCCCCAGTAGTCACCTTGGCTAGGGAGAGCTTGGGTGGCACTTCCCGCTGGCTTCCAAGGAGCCAAGGGCAGAAGGAAAGGCTGCATCTGCTTTGCTTTGAGTGGGAGAAAGGAGGCACAGGCTGGATGAAGGTAATTAGATCCCGTTGCCCCACAAGAGGCAACTCTAATTTTTATGAGCATTTAAATGATAATATATCATCCTAACGATCCTCTTTGAGAATGATTATTGTTTCATATTACTTAGGTGTAAAAATATAAGCACCATGTAATTAGGGACCCAGTGTAATAAACTAATACAGATCGCCCGTTTGAACAAAATGAAGGTAATATAATTATGGAAAAGACACTGTTGCTAAAGCAGGGGCCCTTGAATACCCCAGGAGGAGCGCTAATATTGCCAGGAAATGATCAGGATCTGACAGGCTAACGAGGGCCTTAATTAAGTATGAAAAACTGCTGAGCAAATGCTGCTGGAAACTTTTTCCCCCCCTCTCCTCCTTGGTTTGGAAAATGATTCCACAGCCCATGCTGATCTCTCCCTGTTGGAAATTCCAGGTCCCTCCAAGTCCCAAAGCAAGGGAAGTGGTGCCCTGATGGAGGCCAAAGGTGGGCCTGGCCTGGCTGTTTCCTGGCATGACCCTGGGTGGATAGGAGCTTAGTGTTTTGTTGGGCATGCTGGTGTGGGCTTGGGCCAGCTGTTCCCTCCTGGACATGCCTTCCCTAAGCATCCTGTATCCATGTCATTTGGTCCTGCATCCAGCCTTGCTCCCAAGCAAGAGGGTAAGCATAGAACGAGCATGGGATTCAGGGTCATGCTAGGATTTAGATCTTTACCAGATAGGCAATTCTGGACGGGTGACTTCACCTCTGCGAGCCTTGGTTCCTTTTATGGATAATGACCTAGCTGCTAGTGCTTCATTCTCACAGGTGCTCCCTGCACCAGCATCAGCAGAATCACATGGGAGATTTATTAGAAATGCAAATTCTTGGCCCCTACCCCAGACCTGATGAAGCAGGAGCTCCAGGGGAGGGCCCAGCAATGTTTACAGCCCTCCAGGAGACTGATGTGCACACAGGTTGGAGAAGCACTGTGCTAGAACACCACTTGGACTAAGTGACAAGCTGATCTTCCTTAACCCAGCCAGACCTGTGGCCAGCATCACAGAAGGGAGGGGCCAGTGGGGGGATGGAGAGGGTGTAGGATTGGGGAGCGGGTGGGGGAGCTGGCTGCAGTTTAGTTCTCTTCCGGGGCTTCTCTGTGCCTCGCTGTTTGTTATATGTCTTTTTGTGTTCGCCTGTCTTCCCAGGGGCCTTAGTGCTCTGAGGGCTATAGAAGTCTGCTTCTTCTCAAAGCTTAGCTTGTGCCCCAGAGGAACTGAATGAGAATCTCTGGTGATAAAGCCTGGGCATCAGTATTTTTAAAGCTCCTCAGATAATTCCAATTTGTAGCCAAAGAACTGTTGGTATGAGCTAGTCTGAGGTATTTCTGATCTGACACACTCTCCCTCCCAAGGCTTTCTGCATATTCAGAGGAAGAAGTAGCCAGAGGTACTGCTTAGCTAAAGGAATGACTCACCAATGGTGGAATGCTGGGTATTCTGATGGGGAAATGGCATTATGCTTTTAGGGCAGTCAGTCCTCCCTCCTCTGGGGGGCAGGCTGAGACTCAGCGACAGGTTCTAATCTCAGACCCTGGTTTTGGGCCAAGGCATCAAGAAGAAAACTTGAGCAAATGCTCTGCTTCTTTATTCTGCTCTTGGGGGGCTGTGGCCAACCCAGGCCCATCTCTGGGGGTCAACAAGAGCCATGTCTCCTCTCTGTACCTGGCACAGGCTCAGGAACCAGCTGCTCCTCATTGTGACTGGGGAGCAGGTACACTCCTGCCTCCTCTTGACCCTCTCCCCCAGGAGAAACTGAGCCCCTTAATTTACTCATCATAGTTTGGAGTCCTCTCCAGTTATCAGAATTAAGTTTTAAAGACCAGCCTCTAAATCCTCTGCCACATGGTTCTTGGGATTTCGTAACTCCACAGCCTCATCTCAGGCGCCTAAAACAGATGGTTGATCTTTTCCAGCCCAGAAGTACAAAGGTAACTTGGCTTCTGCCCTTTTTCCAACCTGGAGGCTGTAAGGGAGGATAAACAGGACCCAGGGTGTAGAGGAACAGGGTGTAGAGGAAAAGAGCGTAGGGAGAGAGACAGGTGAGGGCGAGAACGAGGGAGGGAGAAGAGGCAGAGGACGAAGCACAGATGGAGAGTGTACAGGCGCGTGCTCAGGCCGGCCAACAGGTCAACAGACAGACTGATGGGCAGAGCATCAGCAAGTGATGGAGAGAGAGCTAGCCAAATGGATTCAGAGGCCCGCAGTGCTCAATGGACCAAGCACTCATGAAGGAGCCAATGGGAAACAGGAGATGGAAGGGTCCAGGGAGCCGGTGGGACCACAAGACCACGATGGGGCTCAGAAGTGGGTGGAAGCACCCCAAGCCCTTCCTGGCAGCCCTGGCTCTACCCGTGGCTGGGATCTGTACCCTCTTCCCTCTGCTGATGCCCTCACCATCCTCCAAGGTGGTGGCATTGATCTCGCTGGACGAGGGCCCCGTGCCAGCCCGGTTGAAGGCCTGGACCACCACCCCGTATTGGGCGAACTTCTTGAGGTTGTCCAGGGTATAGACCTCACTGTCCCCAGTAGCCTTCATCTCCACGATGCTGTACTGCCCATTGCTGCCAGGACTGTTCTCTCTGTAGCCAATCTGGTAGCCCCGGATGACGCCATTCTGCAGCTCCTTCTTGGGTGCCTGTGAGTATGGGTGGGGGAGAGGGAAGACAAAGACACAGTGACACTCTGAGACCAAAGTCAGATTATATCACTCCTCTGCTCCCAACCCTTCAAAGGCTCCCGTCTCGCTCAGAGTGAAAGCTGAAGTCCTTATAATGGCTGCACAATCCTATGTGATCTGACCCCCATTACCTCCTGGACTCATATCCTCTCCCCGGTGCTTGCTACACTCCAGCACACTGGCCTCTTTGCTGCTCACACCGCCTGGGGAACACTCTTTCCTTGGATATCCACATGGCTTGCCTCGTCATCTCTGTGGTGTCCTGGCTGAAATCCCCCTTCCTTTTTTTTTTTTTATAAAGATTTTATTGGGGAATCGGGGAAGGGAACAGTGTTGGGGAATTGGGGAAGGGGAACAGCCAAGTTGTTGTCCTTCGATCTTAGTTGTGGAGGGTGCAGCTAACTCAGCTCCAAGTCAGCTCCAAGTCTAGTCATCATCCAGCTGCCTGTCAGCAGCTTGTGACAGCTCAGCTCAAGGTGCTGTGTTCAGTCTTAGTTGTGGGGGTGTGTAGTCCACCATCCCATGCAGGAGTCGAACCGGCAACCTTGTTGCACACTGAGCCATCTGGCCGCCCGTTGGCAGCTTGCGGCTGCTCCGCTCAAGGTGCTGTGTTCAGTTTTAGTTGGAGCGGAGGGGAGAGCCCACCATCCCATACTGGTGTCAAGCTGGCAACTTTGCTGCTAAGCATGCTCTCACTTGCTCAGCGGCAGCTCAGCTCGGGAGCAGCTCACTGGCCCATGTGGGAATCGAACCGGTGACCCTGTTGCTCAGCGCTCACACTCTTAACGAACTAAGCCACTCGGCCGGCCCTGAAATTCCCCTTCTTAAGTTCTTGTGTCAGATCGCTCCCTGCCCACAGGACTCCTGACATTTCTTCCAGCTTTATTTTTCTCCACAGCACTAGCATCATCTGACATTCTATATATTTTACTTATGTGTTTGACTATCTGTCCCCATTAGAATACAAGCACCATGAGGATGAAGATGTCATCTGTTTTGTTTCCTGCCATCCTCTCTATATCTAGAATGGTGCCTGGCCTACAGTAGGCCCTCAATACATACTGAATAAATGAGTGAATGAATGAATGACTATCATTTGGCATGGGCTCAGGGGCCTGGAAGAAATGGAACAGCAGACAAAAAAGTAACCAGATGGAGAGGGAGGTGAGCAATTAGTTTGAATAAAAAGAAAGAGTCCCAAGATACCACTTCACACCCACTAGGTGGCTGTTATAAAAAAAAATGGGAACTAACAAGTGTTGGAGAGGACGTGGAGAAACTGGAACCCTTGTGCATTGCTGGTGGGAATGTAAAATGCTGCTGCAGCTGCTGTGGAAGACAGTTTGGCAGTTCCTCAAAAAGTGAAACAAAGAATTGTTTAACCGTATGATCCAGCAATTCCATCCTTGGTATATACCCAAAGGAATTGAAAGCAGGGACCCAAACAGATATTTGTACACCCATGTTCATAGCAGAATTATTCACAACAGCCAAAAGGTGGAAGCAACCCAGGTGTCCATTGACAGATGGGTGGATGAACAGAATGTGGTACGTACATACAGTGGGATATGATTCAGCCTTGAAAAGGAAGGAAGTACTGATACATGCTATGACATGGATGAACATTGATAACATCATGCTAAATGAAATAAGCCAAACACTAAAGGACAAATATTGTATCACATTACTTCTATGAAGTACTTAGAATAGGCAAATCCATAGGGACACAAAGTAGAATAGAGGAACTAGGGGTGGGTTGGTGGGGAGTTACTATTTAATGGGCACAGAGTTTGTGTTTGGGATGATGAAAAAGTTCTGGAGAAGGACAGTGGCTATGGTTGCACATTATGAATGTACTTAATGCCAGTGAACTGTACACATAAACGTGGTTAAACGGTAAATTTTATGTATGTATTATAAAGTGGTATATATATTTTACAAGTTAAAAAAAGAGTCCTTGACTTTTCTGTGGGCCTAGCCTCTCTTGGAGCATGTAGCTGGATTGCCCTGGACACCCTGTCCAAGGGCTGGGCTGTGTTGAGGGCTGAGGCCTGAAGCCAGCTCCTAGATGGAGGGATGGAAATGGGCAAGGATGCGCAGGTGGGATTTTGAAGGACGCGCAGGGGTGTTTTGAAGCTTTGGCTAGGTGGGCAGCAATGAAGGACAGATCCCAGTAGGCCAGGCGAATGGAGAAAACTCCATTGGCTTCAGTCTTGGGGCTGGAAAATATATTCGCACCCCAAGCTTGAACCCTGATACACACCCATCCCCCACACATGCACACACATGAACACACACAAGATCCCAATATATCTCCTCATATCCAGAACCAGGAAGACACCCATCCAGACCCATCAAAGCAAACAGCCCAATCTACACACCTACCCTCTGCCAGCTGCATTTAGATCCACAAATAGAAAGTGGATCCTTTAAGGAGTGGACCTGCCCATCTATAAATTGAGAGAGAGCACCCACCCTAGTGCATATAAAAACAGCTTGAATCAGGGACTTAAAGACAATGAAGTTAATTTAAAAGCCCACCTTTTATTGTACTAAAAAATAGTGAGATCAAAAGCAATTAAGTTAGTAAAACAGTCCCACCGGTTTTTTTTTAATTCAATGAATGTTTTAAATGAACTGCATTTTTAAGCTCACTGTTAACTCAATAAAATGAAGTTTTTAATTTAACATAATTGTTTTGAACTCACGAAATAGGTGTGTGTGTGTATTTAATTGACTTGACTTTTTGTTAATGCCTGAGTAATGTTTCTGTCTGCACTTGGGCAGTCCTGTTTGCTAGTTTGTAAGTAGGCAAATTTCTGAGTCTGGGCCTTGTACCTGCACACATATGTCTATGTACATTCACACACACAAAAAGGCATTTATTCTAGACACAAACATATCTTCAAGACACCCTTGTCTTCATACTGACATATACTATCATATTACATAAACACATCCATACTGACACACTTTCTGGTATATCCATCATTAGACAATGACACACATGCCTACATACCCAGAGCCACCTATACCATGATATATACCTGTACACAGCACCATACAATCTTCATTCACATCAACATATACTGGCAGAGGCCACAGATAGGCATCCAGGCATACCCTGTTATATATACGTGTGTGTGTGTGTGTGTGTGTGTGTGTGTGTGTATTCACATATTTATATGAATCTTGACAGATCTTCCCTCCCTCTTTACTCTCCTTTTTTCTTTCCTTCTCTCCCCTACACCCGCACCCCCGCATCCCCAAACGGGAACATTCAGGATTTAAATCAATCTTAACAATATTTCTCTGAAGCATTAAGAAATCAATAGGGCTGATTGCAAATTTATGTCATAAAGCAGTGGTGATCCATCTCGTAGAAAGAGTCTTAAATGAAGTGACTTATCTTTCAAGTGAATCTTTATTTTTCATTAATCTGTTTCTTGGTGTTAAAAAAAAATTCCCCTGAGAAGTCAGCCCCAAATTTATTGACGAGCTGGTTCATTCTGAACTTCTAACTTTCTAATCAATTCTATTTTTCATTATGAGACTTTGGAGAAATAAATCTGATTCTAAATTTTTATCGACCTCCGGGTTGGAGCTCAGTAGCCAACTGTCTCAGTTTTACATACTTATTCATTCCCTGCCCCCACCTCTTGGCTTTCTTGGAGTATTCCTAGTAAATGAGTCCAGAGCTAGGATGCACATGAGACTTGGGGATTGGACTCTTGCTTTACCTCCAACTTCTGAGGAAAGCCCTGGAGCCCAGATCTGAATCTGGATGGGAACCATGGCTCCAGGTATCTACAAGGTGGGCTGGTCCCCAGAAAGGACTAACTGTCCCGCCCTTGCCCCACTTTCAACCTGGTCATTTCTCTAGAGAGGGAAGGAACCAGGCTCTGCTGCATTGTGTGTGTGTGTGTGTGTGTGTGTGTGTGTGTGTGTGTGTGTGTGTTACAAACAAGTGCAGTCTTTTTAGGGAAAATATCACTAGGCGCTTCTGAATCCCTCCCATTCTCAAGTCTACCTTTCGGAAAGCTCCAGAAGGAAGACTAAAGCACTTGGGCTTTTTAGGAGTTAGAGTCGGAAAATGACCTTGGACATCTGATCCCAGATGTAGATGAGGCCACCCCCAACCCCCACTGTTGAGATGGGGAAGCTCCAAGAAGAACAACACAGATGGGCCCTAATTAAGGGGTCTATTCCCAAACTCCAGCAGGCTATGGTGGGAAGACTGGGTGGGGGCTTCGTACTATGTGTGTTTAAGTCTTGCACCTGTCACTACTTGAATGACTGTGGGCAAGTGTCACCTCGCATCTCCACACCATGGCCTCCTCAGATGGATGGGGATAAAAATATTTTTGTCCACTCTACTCCACAGAAACAGAGGATCACATAAGTTAGCATAAGAAAATACTTGGGCACTAGAAAATGCAGTGCAACAGGAAGGCATCAGCATTGCTAACCCTTCCGTGTCCATGGCAGGGATATGGCAATAAAGCTGCAGTTACCCAGTAAAGCGTTTCTTGGTCCTGCACAAAGTTATTTCGATCTGTTTCTCTGCCCAACTGTGGAATCTCTACGATTTTCCTTAAGTGACAGATTCTTCAGACACCCTCTAGATTTGATAAGTTCCTGCCCCTTAGAAACGGCTGCAGCACATACTGGTCTGCTTTCTGTATAGCTCCTCCACCCCCTGAAATAGGGAGGGCAGTTATTTTCATCCTGGTTTTACAAAAGAGGAAATCGAGACCTGAAAGGACCAAGCCCCTTGTCCAAAGCCTCACTGTGAGAAGACAGGGGATGGCCTCACCCTACTGCCCAGCTCCAGTCATAGGGCCAAGATGAAGGTGAGACCCTGTCTTGTCATTTCCCATCATCCACAGGGCTCCCTTGAACTTTGCACAAAATCAAATCCAACTCTCAGCCTATTACAACATGTGGGGTTTGGAGGACAGGCCAACATGGTGGAAAACACATCTTCCCTACTTGGCACTGCCAAGTTCTTCATCCCACCCCACGCACAGGTCTCCATCAGAGAGCCAGGGTGGAGAAAAGAGTAAAGGAGTGGGGACTGCGGGGGGAGGGGGGAGTTGCTCCTGTATCCTCTTTCTTTCCCTCCAGCCTCACTGGATTTAGAAAAAAACAGGTATAGGCATGATAAGAGGCCAGAACTAGCTAACCTGCTGGGGCTTCATTCCTGGACTAAGGAGGGAAGAGGAAAAGAGGCATTTCAGGGAAGATGCTTTCAATCTCACTTACCTTCCAGGTCACTTGGATGCTCTGTGAGGTCACTGGCTGCAAAGTGACATCCATGGGGGGCCCATCAGGAGCTGGGATGGGGGGAAGAAGAACAACGTTACGAGTCAAGTCTTGGAAGAAGAAAGAGTCCTATGTTCTCACTCTTTTCCTCCTGAGCTGGGGAGAAAGGAGATGCTCACCTACAGAAGCAGAAGACCTTTGTTTGAGTCTCCCTGAAGCAACCATAGGGTTTATGTTTCCTCTTAATTCTACATGATTTTTTAAAAGTTTGTGTAGGCAAGGGTGTGTGTAGTGGCAAGAACTCTTATACACTGATCATGGGACAGCAAATTGGTACAACACTTTGGAAAACGCTTTGGCATTTTTTTGTTCAAGGTGGAAATATGCCTGTCTGACGACTGTAATTCTACAACTGCTTATATTCCCTAGAGCAGGGGTTGGCACACTGCAGCTCGTGAGCCACATGCAGCTGCTTGGGTACGTTCCGTCTCAAAAGTTTGCTGACCCCTGGAAGAGCCACTCCTGTCCCTCACAACAATTTAAAAAGTATTTGAGAACCATAAATATATTTTTACATAATCACCATTATGTGAATATCTTTTTTAAATTGTATAAATGAAACTATGATACTTTTATTTTCATTGTCAATTTTACTTCAGAGCCTGAGGCTCGCAAGCCGCAGTTTGCTGACCTCTGGCGGCTCTTCCGTCTCAAAAGTTTGCTGACCCCTGTCCTAGAGAAACTCACGAACCTGTGTACTACCATACACGTACATGAATGCTCACAGTTCCAAACTGTAAACAACACATGCCCATCTGCAGTAGAATGGACAAATGGGCTGTGATATAATCATGAAATGGAATACTATACAGCACCAAAAATGCACAAACGATACAGCTGTATTAGCAACATGAAGCTCACAAAAAATTTTTGATCAAAACAAGGAAGAAACAAAAGAATATATGAAGTATGATTTCATGGATACATTCTATTGGAAAATAGGCAAAACTAAGCTATATGGTTGATGTGTATATACATTGTGGTGACAATATAAAAAAGCAAGAAAGTTAAGATACTGGTTACTTCAGGGGGAAGGATGGGGTTATGATTTGGAAGTGAAGTAGGGAGAACCTCCGGCATGTTGGTAATTGATAATGTGTATTGGATATCCTAGTTTTTACTTTACTATTATTTGTAAAACTGCCCATCTATGTGATATGTACTTTTTGCATTATTTTATATTTTACAATAATTCATAAGAGAAAATAGAGCAACAGAGATCCTTTCTTTAAAATTTCAGGAAAACTCCATGAGAAAGGTCACGGAAGATAATCCAGGACACTCTTAACCCAACC